GGTGCCAGAAACGAGTCGCCTTGGGGACCGCTGTCCATCGTTGAACTGGTCCGGTCAATCTCCTGGCCAGATGCAGGGGTGGACGAGACTCGGTTCTTACAGCAGGTAGCCTGTGTGACTCAACGAAATCGACGAAAGCTAAAGAAAGCCCCACGTTAGCGTTGAAAACAAGGAGCAAAAAGTTCGCGGGTCGTGGCTAAGATGTTTACCCTATACGGTTCCTTGAATAGAACACGTTCCATGGTCCGATTGTAAGTCCATTTGTTCTGGTCGCAATCCGGGAAGCACACCCTTGTACGGCTGTTAGCTTGCCGGATACACGACCTCAAAGGACCGGAGAAGGCGCTTACGACACGGACGATTCACCGCCGCGGTGACCACCTGGGACGTTCGTTAGTGATCTTTTCCACTGCGGTCTTTGCGGGCTTCTCTTTAGTATGATGTAGCACTTACTAGCAATTAAGATCCCCGAGCGCTTATTGCGCAGCACGTGCTTGATGCTATACTCATCTGGCCAGGCTTCGAATTGATGGAGCTGGTTCCTGCGAAGCTGGCTGGTGTAGGCACGTGCACTTCGCTCCTGTCGCAGAGTGGTGGGCAAGCGCAAGGCGCCGATCTCTCGTTGCACATTTAGAAGAGGGTGAGATAAAGACTGCGCCCTCTTGATCTTCTCCTTGGCCTCCCTCTTGATTTGCTGAACCTTTCGGCGACGTTCCTAGTCACGACGTCAGCGAGATCATGCAAGTTGAGTCCGAGCCCTATTTTTCACAACCTCGTGGTCAGCGCGTTTGCGCTTGACCGAGTCTTTCGAGTATTGAGCTCCTGGGGCCGCCGCGTGGCTGGCCTGAATCTTGAAATACTTCTTCTTCTCCGGGTCTAGAGACCATGGTTAATAAGATTTGTTCGAAACGCACGATTTACGGGTGGTGGGTCATTATATATGTACCATAGTAGAATCCGGGGATTTCTCTCGCCATGACGGGTGGACAGAGAGGATTCAGATGTGTGAATTATGTGATGCAGAAGAAGGGTACTAGGTAGCATGAAGGGTTGTTGTGTATCTCGGTAGTAACTGTCACGATGCTAAAGTATATCTGCTTGGATAGCCAGCGGCGTCATGTGCCGCATGTGCTCGAGCACTGAGCCCAATTTCTAGTCAGGCTGCTCAGAGCGGAAGAATCTGATCAGAGCACCGCGTCGACTACCGTTAGCGAACTGCGAAAGAGTAAGTCATGTATCTCGTGAGATTGTAGAGCAGTAGCAAGTAAAAGAGGTCATAAATGAAGAAAATATGGTATGCATGCAACAAGACAATGGGGTGGATTTTCCACAGCGTTTAAAGTTAAGATGGATGACGTTCGGGTCGCTGTCCTCGATTACGTCAGCCGTGCCTCTCGCTCATAGGCTGACAGGCCAGTATATTCTTCTTTCCCTTTATGGCACTCTGAATGAGTCCAGCGAGTCTCTCCTTCCTGCCGCGCAACGTGTATCCTTCCATGACCTGTAAAGCAACGGTCTAAAGCACCTGATGATGATTTCTGTCTGCTTGTTACTCCACACCAGTGGGCTCGATTACCTCCAGCTAGACGGCAATCTTATCTTGCATACGATTCAAAGCATAAGCTTAAAGATCATTTATACCTTACGACCCCTTGGTCTTCTTACTATGCCTATAACCTTGAGATTGAGGCGATCTTCAATTGTCATGGAGAGCACGACCTCCCTCGACAAAACGAGTACCCTCGATGTGAACAATGGTCTTGTCGAGGAGAAGCCAGACTCGACTACGCCAACCCAGGTCGCCATCGAAAATGACGAGGAGGAAGAAAAAGACATTGATACTCTCATCGAGGAACTAAGATCTGTCGATGGCTTTGCCGATTTGAAACCTCTGGAATCAAACCATACAGGTGGGCGACATCCAGTATCAGAAGAATTGCTCCACACAGACTCGAACACAGGCCTCAGTACGAACGAAGCACTTCTACTACGGAAAAAGTTTGGTCCCAATGAGATGAAGGAAGGAAAGGAGAATCTGGTTTTCAAGTTTCTATGGTTCTTCGTCGGCCCTGTTCAATTTGTCATGGAAGTATGTGTCCCTCATCGAGTCTCGCAAGCGATAGCTACTGACTGTCTATCGACTTTCAGGCAGCCGCGGTCTTAGCTGCTTATCTTCATGATTGGGTCGACTTGGGCGTGATCTGTGGGCTCCTCCTGCTGAATGCCTCGGTGGGGTTTATACAGGAATATCAAGCGGGTTCCATCGTCAAAGAGCTGAAGAAGACGTTAGCACTGAAGGCTATAGTTCTGCGCGATAGTGTACTCTCTGAGCTTGATGTAGCCCAACTTGTCCCGGGTGACATTGTGAAGATAGACGAGGTACCTACCTTTTGACTGTTTTTTTTTTTTTTCTTTTCAAAGGTTTTTTGGCTAACAAGAGATAGGGCACGATCGTTCCTGCGGACGGCCGCATCATGACGAACTCTGCTATACAAGTCGATCAGTCGTCGATCACCGGAGAGTCTCTAGCTGTCGATAAGCATTTGGGAGATACGTGTTACGCGTCCTCTACTGTGAAACGAGGCCACGCCCGAATTCTTATTACCGCTACTGGCGATTCGACCTCTGTGGGGCATGCTGCAGCCTTGGTTAATGCCTCTGCCTCAGGGACAGGCCACTTCACCGAAGTCCTCCAGGGTATCAGCACCGTCCTACTTGTCCTTGTTGTTGTCACTCTTATAATTGTTTGGGTGTCCTCTTTCTATCGTTCCAACAACACCACGACTATTCTCGAATTCACATTGGCTGTCACAATGATTGGGGTCCCGGTAGGCCTTCCCGCAGTTGTCACCACCACGATGGCAGTAGGAGCAGCATACCTGGCGAAGAAACGAGCGATTGTTCAACGGCTATCAGCTATTGAATCGCTTGCTGGCGTTGAGATACTCTGCTCGGACAAAACTGGCACCTTGACCAAGAACAAGCTATCTTTGACAGAGCCCTTCACCGTTCCTGGTGTGGAAGCTGAAGATTTGATGCTAACGGCATGTCTCGCCGCCTCTAGAAAGAAGAAAGGCATGGATGCAATAGACAGAGCATTTTTCCGAGCGCTATCCTCCTATCCGTGTGCGAAAGCAAAGCTTACAGAGTACAAAGTGATTGAGTTCTCTCCGTTCGATCCAGTCTCGAAGAAAGTCAAAGCAGTAGTACAGTCTTCCGAAGGAGCGCGCATCACATGCGTGAAAGGATCTCCTTTATTTGTGCTTAAGGCCGTCCAGCAAGATCATGAGATTCCCGAGGAAATCGAAACTGCATACAAGAACAAGGTCGCAGAGTTCGCGACTCGCGGTTTCCGTTCGCTTGGTGTAGCTCGGAAACACGGTGATGGCGAATGGGAGATTCTGGGTATAATGCCATGCTCCGACCCTCCGCGACACGACACTGCAAAGACTATAAGCGAGGCCCAGACTCTGGGGCTTTCAATTAAGATGCTCACAGGCGATGCGGTAGGAATTGCTCGCGAGACGTCGCGCCAGTTGGGACTAGGCACGAATGTGTATAATGCTGAGCGTCTTGGTCTTGGTGGAGGGGGAACAATGCCTGGCTCCGAGGTTTATGATTTTGTTGAAGCCGCTGATGGCTTTGCAGAGGTCTTTCCAGAGCACAAGTACAATGTCGTGGATATTCTGCAGCAGCGTGGATATCTGGTAGCCATGACGGGCGACGGCGTCAATGATGCCCCATCTCTGAAAAAAGCCGACACTGGAATCGCAGTCGAAGGATCCTCAGATGCCGCGCAATCTGCCGCTGACATCGTATTCCTAGCTCCAGGATTGTCCGCTATTATCGATGCTGTGAAGACTTCCCGTCAAATCTTCCATCGCATGTACGCCTACGTGGTTTATCGTATAGCTCTCTCTTTGCATCTCGAGATTTTCCTGGGGCTTTGGATTGCCATCCGCAACGAGAGCCTAAACTTGCAACTGGTGGTGTTCATTGCCATCTTCGCTGACATTGCAACTCTGGCTATCGCCTACGACAAAGCCCCCTTCTCCACTACACCGGTGAAATGGAATCTCCCCAAGCTGTGGGGAATGTCAGTGCTGCTTGGGATTGTCCTTGCCATCGGCACGTGGATCACCCTCACCACTATCTTGGCTTCTGGTGAGAATGGGGGCATCATGCAGAACTACGGCAAACGAGACGAGGTCTTGTTCTTGGAGATTTCGTTGACCGAGAATTGGCTTATCTTCATCACTCGCGCTAACGGTGCTTTCTGGTCTTCTGGGTGGCCATCATGGAAACTGATAGGGGCCATTGCAGCGGTGGACACTGTCGCTACGTGCTTCTGTGCATTCGGCTGGTTCGTCGGTGGACAGACCTCGGCCCCAACAATTATCCGAATCTGGATCTTCTCCTTTGGTATGTTCTGCATCATGGGAGGGTTATACTATCTGCTTCAAGGCTCCAAGAGCTTCGACAATATCATGCACGGCAAGAGCCCCCGGTGCATGGACAAACAGCGCTCTCTTGAGGACTTTCGTATGATCAAGCCCCATATCCCGGTATCGTTCCGACAAAGCTAACTGGCCCAGTGGTTGCCCTGCAACGCGTGTCTTCTCAGCACGAAAAGAGCTCGTTGACCAGTATGGAGAATGGACAGGCTACCCGTGGTGTTTGATCATCCTTTATCCTTGATGACATTCTGCACGGCTCGCTGGCGAAATCGGTATAGCTCAGGGTCGATGTGACATCATGAGCACACACCCTGAATGACCTGCTGTGTTTGTACAAAACCCATGTCTTTCAAAACCCATGTCTTTGACGCATACGTTCTTTCTGTTGTACATCATAGGTGGAGTTAAAGCATGGTGTCTCCCAATAATGAAACATTCATGAAGAATTATGATCGATGCACACAATCCTGACCTCAATCGAATCCTATCCATTCAACATAAGTCTACCATGCTGAGCGCTAGGTTGTCAATCTACGTACTGATGAAATCGAGAAGCAAATAGGTATTCCTAGATTACACGGTGACAATGATAGTAATGGTAGATAATAGGGTAAGTCGTGAGGAAACAGGTTGGTCGGAGAGGGAAAATGCCACCGAGAAAGAAAGACGATGTACAGATACATAGCAGCAAGTATGCAGGGTGAAAAGGGGGGCAAGACGTAGAGACATGAAAGATAAGGAAAAGAGGATGAGGAAAATGTGGAAAGTTATGATGACGTGACAGAGAGATAAGGAAAATTGACGTGTGGAGCGAATGGACGGCTAAGGACAAGAGAGAGTCGAGACTATGTGCACTTGGAGGGTTCCATCATTTCTGGAAATGTTGAGAGAGCGTTAAGCTTTGGAGGTCAGGTGATCGACGGCCTGTGTAACAAAGGTGTGATTAGCACTCGTGGGTGGAAGCTACTTCGCAATAGGCAATCACGACATACCTTGTCAATATTATAGTCGAACTGTTCGAGAGCAGCGAGAGATTCTTCACGGGGGAAGCCCATGTTGGTCAGGCGTTGGAGGATCTGGTCATCCTCGGTGCCGGTCTGAAGAGCCCATCCTGGTGGCTTGTTTGCTTGGGCAGAATCATTCGCGGTGCTGGAACCGTTGGCCCCGCTTGCTGATGCATTGGCATTGTCAAGAGGAGCAAAGAGCTCTTCCCAGTTGTGCGTCTGCGCCTGGGAATTCGCGTCAGGGTCAGACGCGGCAAAGCCCGGAGATGAGGCGGTGGCATCCTTGTTGAAATCGAAGAATTCTGAAGAGGAGGCTGCAACATTCTGTGACGTCTTCTGGGCCGGGTTATCGAAGGAGAAATCGAAGTCCATGTCATTCTTGTTCTCCACGGTCTCAAAGTCGTCATCGTCATCCTCTGCCTCCTTGGCGGGAGCCAGGTCAAGTCCTGCAAATGCAGCCTCGAAATCGGGAGCATTGGGCTTGGCTTCTTGAGGGGCGACCTTGGTTTCCTCATGGTGATCGCGCTGGGGCTCTCCCCCGACGATCGGGGCGCCCGTGCTTGTCTCCACTGAGTGAGGTGCATCGGCAGCAGTTGTCGGGTCCTCACGGCTCGGCAATAGTCCGTTGAACTCGGGAGGTATACTTCCTGGCTCTTGCTTTCCTACCGTCTCTTCGTAGTTCGGGGGGCTGCGCTGAGCCTCCGCATCAGGAGGTTCACTGGGAGTGGCGGCGGCGCCCGGCGAAGGGAAAGCTGCTGGTTGAGGTGTTTCAAGAATATCAGGTTTAGGTTCTCCTCCTACCTGGCTCTGAGGGGGGAAGGCGGGGGCGAAATCATCCTCAAAACCCAAGGGCGCTTCGCTGTCTGAGCTTTCGTCCCCGTCATCGAGTTCACGGATTGGAGGGAATTCAGATTGAGCAATAGGTGCTGCACCATTGGGCTTGCTTGGCCCGGGACCATTCTTCATAGCAGCAAAAGCCTCCTCGAAATCATTCTTGTTCTGAGACTGAGATCGTTTATGAGCTGGCCCGCCAAATAGCTCATCGAAGCTAAGATCCTTCTTTTCTGTAGGATTCTCGGCAGACGTGGCTGAATCGCCACTCGCGGGAGTATGATCAGCGACATCAGGCACTTCAGGGAAGCGTTCCTTCGGCTCGTCAAACTCGTCAAAAGGCGAAGCCACGGCCTTGACTTGCTCTGTTGGGGTGGAAGCCGCTACTTCACTAGCCGTGTCTGGACCACCAAACCTGCTACCAGGAGGCGAGACTCGGGTGGAAGAGGTAACCGAGTGATCTTCGCCGAATGGCAGCACGTTTGGTGTGAGTTGCCTTGATTGCGAAAGCGCAGGTGGCTCGAACGCAGCAGTAGCACCAACAGAAGGGGGTGGAGACACTGAAGGGGTCGGAATTCCCGAGGTCGGCTGCGACTCGGCCTTGAAAGAGACGGGCGGGGGAGGAGTGGCAGCTGTAGCAGGAGACACGAAGGAGGTGCCAAAGAGGCTGTCAAACGCACGCTGCTGATCATTCGAGATCTGGGGTGATAGTGCGTTATTGTCGCTGGAGCCAGTGGCCGTGCGCTTGAAGAACGGGTTGGTGTTCTGGCTTGCTGTAGATTCAGCAGGGCTTGTAACAGCAGCAGCCTCGCTTGCGACGGCAGCAGCCTCCTCGGGTTCTCTGGACTGCTCCTGTGAAAGAGTGTCAATCTCCTCCTTGATTTTATCTCTCTCGCCTTCCACAGTTGCAAGCTGCTTCTTGTTGATCGCTACAAGACCTTTCTGCTGACGGGCACTCGAGCGTGCCTTGTCTAGGGCAGGCTTAAGCTGAGCAACCGCAGCGTTGGCTTCACGGATCTTCTCCTTCAAGTTTGCATTCTCTTGCTGGTCAGCAGCCAGGGCAGTCGACACCTGATTGTATTGATTTTGCAGATCCTGCCGGCTGCCCTCTAGAAGAGCATACTCCTGTTGCAATTTGTTTGTTTCGGCTCTCGAGGCATTCAACCGCTCCTCAAGAGCTTTGAAGTTCTTGACCTCCTGCTCATACATTGTCCTAGCCTGCGCAAGGCGAGTTTCAAAGTCACGCTTCTGTTGGGAGGTCTGGGACAGGTCACGCTCGGCCGAAGTTCGCTTCGACTGGACATTCTGCATCTCATTGGCGAGAGAACCAATCTGGTTAGACAGGTTGGCGAGCTCTGTAGTCTCCTGTGTCAACTTTTTGGACTCCTCGGGATCATTGTCGCCCAACAGGTCATCGGCAGGCGGCGGTGGTGACCGGATAGTTGGCGATGCACCAGCAGAGGCACCAGTCATCTGTGGCTGCAAGCTTTGGCCAAACGTGGACGTGGGCACAAACGGCTTGAACGTTGACGAAGCTGTTGGTGGGGAAGTTCGGGATCCGGGAGAGCTCGGTGTCTGGAAAGCCGCGTTCGAACCGCCCGTGGACTGCGGCACTTGAGAAGGAGCAATAGGAGGTGCAGGTGCTGTGAAAGCGTCCAGACCAAACAAGTCATCCGCCGCCGACTTAGGAGCAGGGGCGGGAGCTGGTGCAGGAACTGGTGCGGGAGCAGCAACTGGTGGAGCGATGTGAGCAGACCCAGGGCGACGCATGCTGGGAGGAATCAGAGCCGGGGGCAGGGTCTGTGGCAATGGGTTCTTTCCAGTCCGCTGCTGCCGAACCAGATACATGGCCACGGCAAACTCATCCTTCGTCAAACGTCCATCGGCATCGATATCTGCAAGATCCCAGATTTGGGCAAGGGTCTCCTCTGGCAGTTGTGCCCCCATGAAGAACGCAACGGCCTGGTCACCGCTTACAGATCCTACCTTGGCGGTGTCGACAGTCGCAAAGATATTGTCAAACATTGCTTTTTCTTGGGGCGAAACCAGCCAATCCCCGCCAGTAGACTGAGGAGCCAGAGGCGATCCGAAGGGCCGATTGATCGGGCTCTGGGTCCGCTGCGGCCCAGTGAACTGTTTTGGAATAGCAGGGACAGGGGGAACATCCAAGCCCTGACGTGAGCCAACCGATGAACGAACCGATCCTCTTCGCGAAGCTGCATCATACAGGCCCGGAGGCAAAGTTTGCGGGATTCCCCTCATTGCGCCTGATTTGTACGAAGTGAGAAGATGCATTGCAATGACGAACTCCGTCGCATCAAGCACGCCCTGTTGCCTTACATCTGCTAGGTTCCAGATGCGGCCGAGGATTTCGTTCGGCAACCGTGCACGCTCGAAGATCTGCTTAGCTGTCTCCCCTGTAGATTGCGCCGTTGTATGAGCCAAACATGTCCGAGCCCATCGAGCCCTGTCTCGAACGGAAAGGGGGAAGTTATCCGTACCTGAAAGGACGCCGGTCTTAGCAACATCTGATTTATCGAACAGCGATAGGAATTTGTTCACGTCCTCGGGGTTCAACGGAGGGACACGAATAGGGCCGCCTGCTGCGGGGGTAGGGCTGGTGGTGCCTGCCTCGCGCGGAGTAGGTGGGCCAGGGGCGGCGGCATCAACGGAGATGCCATCGAATTGCGGCAGGGGACCGGCTAGAAGAGTATGAATTCCGTCAGTACTGGTTGATAGATCAACGTCCGCATAGGTCGAACGAAGTGCGCAGGGCGCTTCCGAGAGCACTCACGTTGGTAAGCCAGTTCCTCTGTCGGTGCGCGACCCGCTTGAGCGTGTCCGATCAAGCGGAGAACGACGCCAAACCCGGAAGGGGTCAATAGACCCCTGTTCTCCTTATCCGCGATCTGCCATATCTATAGTTCGAAGGGAGGTCTGCATTAGCGAAGGGCAGTTGCGGGCAGGGCAGGCGACAATAGGCATCGACATACCAAGCCGAGGGTTTCCGGAGCCAATTGGGTCTTTTCGAAGAAAGGCACGGCAACCTCGCCAGTGATGACGCCCAGGTTAGTGGTATCAGCGGCCTGAAAGAGCTGGTAGAAGACGCGCTTTTCCTCGGGGGTCAGATTGAGATTGGGGTGTCGTGCTGCTGGTGACCCGTCAGTTCCGCTGCAACATTAGGGTCATGCCGACCGGGTTGGGCCGTCATCTCCTGAGAGCTCCGGGGGAGGGCAGCTGGCCCGTCATTATGACGGGGGAAGAAGCAACTCAACTCACCGTTGTCAGCCATGATGGGTATAGCTCAGGAGGAGCGAACCTCCTTTCTGAGATATTCCAACACTATGCGCCACAAGAGGGAGGGGGGGGAAATAAACGGAGGGGGTGGGTTGGCACAAAAAAAGTGAGAGACAGTGAAGAGGAGGTGGTCAAGTTAGCTGGGAGAGGGACTACCGACGGGGGCCCGCCTGGATGGCTAAGGCGGTAGCAGCTCGAGCTAAAAGGGGTGGAAGCAATGGCGATACCCCAGGTTGTAACACAGGGGAATACTGAGCAGAAATTAAATAAAGTCTTAGGGTGAGGATGAGACAAGAGACACGAGGGGAGAAGGAGGAGAGGTAGCGGAGGGGTCGGAGGGAGGAAAGAGGGAGGTTTGTCGCAAGCTGCGTAATTACCTTCAACTACGTACTACGTCGTACTGCTACTGCATTGTATGTACCTGGAAAGCTGACAGGCGAGAGTTGGAGGCAGAAGGAGGGAGGGGAGGGGAAGAAGAATTGCCGCTGGGCGGTAGGTTGGCCCGTGCAGGCGGGCGGTCAGTCGGCAGCCCTCTCCGACGTCAGTCCTTGCCTAGGTCGCTACTAACTTTCAACACCAGCCCTTCTACTGTCTCCCATTCTCCAAAGTATCCCAAAGTGTACGAACAAGCACTGACTACAATAACATTATGGCCTCGAAAAACCCCAGAGAATCATCCTACGAGTTGTAATGCCAGCACAGGTTCCGAACTACACCTTCAAGAACTTCATGCGGAGAATCATGAGAAAGAACCCCTTGTCAACTGCAGTTCACAACCATGGACCTTTGTTTTAGAACGAGGCGAACGTTATATTACAATCTTGCTGGCTTGCACGGGAACGAGCGGGTAAATTTCATCGCTGCTTCAGGGATATTAAAAATATATCAGACAAAAGAAAACATAGTCTGTACTAAGCCAATCTCGTCTCTCCTATTGTATCTGTACGCACAGCCAGAGTCCCGCCGCTCGTCGGGTCTTCCCCGGGCCAAAGTCTGTCCCCAGCGGATCACCGCGGAAACAATCAGGGCCAGCCCTGGCATCCAAGCAGACTGCCCCGTCGGACCATCCTCGGGGCTCCGGCCGAGGAAAGTGTCGTCAGACTTAGTACTCAGCCTCAACCTCCTCCTCCAGAGAGTCGCTGGCAACCTCCTCGTAATCACGCTCGAGGGCAGCGAGGTCCTCACGGGCCTCGGAGAACTCACCCTCCTCCATACCCTCACCAACGTACCAGTGGACGAAGGCACGCTTGGAGTACATGAGGTCGAACTTGTGGTCGAGAGCGGACCAGGCCTCGGAGATGGCGGTGGTGTTGGACAGCATGCAGCTAAAGGGAAAGGAACAGTCAGCAACGTGCAATTCGGAGACAGGGGCAGGATTCAACTTACACAGCGCGCTTGAGGGGAGCGAGGTCGCCGTTGGGGACCTGCTGGGGAGGCTGGTAGCAGATACCAATCTTGAAACCAGTAGGGCACCAGTCGACGAACTGGATGGTGCGCTTGGTCTTGAGAGTAGCAACAGCGGCGTGGGTCTCCTTGGGCACAACATCACCACGGTAGAGCAAGCAGGTGGCCATGTACTTGCCGTTGCGGGGGTCACACTTGACCATCTGGTTGTTGGGCTCGAAGCAAGACATGGTGATCTCGTTGACCGAGTTGGACTCGTGGGAAGCCTTGTCAACAGAGATGACAGGGGCGTAGGCGACGAGAGGGAAGTGGATACGAGGGTAGGGGACCAGGTTGGTCTGGAACTCGTTCAGGTCGACGTTGAGGGAACCATCAAAACGCAGGGAGGCGGTGATGGAGGAGACAACCTGGGCGATCAGGCGGTTGAGGTTCTCGTAGCTGGGGCGCTCAATGCCGAGGTTACGGCGGCAGATATCGTAGATAGCCTCGTTGTCGACCATGAAGCTGCAGTCGGAGTGCTCGAGGGTGGTGTGGGTGGTAAGGATGGAGTTGTAGGGCTCAACAACCGAGGTGGCGTTCTGGGGAGCAGGGTACACGCAGAACTCGAGCTTGGACTTCTTGCCGTAGTCAACGGACAGGCGCTCCATGAGGAGAGCACCGAAACCGGAACCGGTACCACCACCGAAGGAGTGGAAGACCAGGAAACCCTGGAGACCGGCACAGTTGTCGGCCACGCGGCGGACCTTGTCGAGGACCTGGTCGATCATCTCCTTACCGACGGTGTAGTGACCACGGGCGTAGTTGTTGGAAGCATCCTCCTTGCCGGTGATCATGTTCTCGGGGTGGAAGAGACTGCGGTAGGTACCAGTGCGGACCTCGTCGACGACATTGGGCTCGAGATCGGCGTAGATGGTGCGAGGCACATACTTGCCCTGACCTGATAGCCCCAACCTGTTAGTGCACACGAGGGGCAAGATATCAGGGTTAGATCAGAAAGCGTACCAGTCTCGGAGAAGAAAGTGCTGAAGCCGTGGTCGGGCTCAGCCTGCTTGCGCTCCTCGGTCAGGTAACCATCGGCCTAGTGGCAAAAACAGCAGCTTGTCAGTGAAGTTCATCTCGAGAGGTGATGGGATCACGCGAAATCTGATCGTTTTCGACGTGTCTTTGATCATCTTCACGTACCTGGATACCGTGCTCAAGGCAGTACAACTAAATGGTCAATACAGTCAGTCCAGCTGTCCTTTTGCCTTTTGGGCTTCTGAACACCCAATGTGTCTTTGTTGAGGAGTTTCCATCAGGGTCGACGAGGGAAGAGAAGAAGAGGGGTCAATCTCTTCGTGTGTATAGCATACCTCCCAGCAGGAGTTGGCGATCTGGCAACCAGCCTGACCGACTGTGAGGGGAGAACCAAAACATTAGTCAAACACGCCAGGCAGATCCCCCAAACGAGATGAAGGGCGGGGGAGCGGGTGAAATGGCAAGAGGGCACATACCGTTCAAACTAATAACTTCTCTCATTTTGTCGAGTTGAATTGAAGGGTTTCAGATGGCGGGAGGAGGGATAAGAAAGGTGGGTGTGGAATGTGGACAGAGGGAAAAATTAAAATACCCAAGGACGACGATCTGTACGGATGTTTCAGGGGTTCGAGAGTCAGCACCTAAAAGGGCCACACCACCAGAGGCAAGAGGGTGGAAAATACAAGTTTGTGGGGGGGGGAATTTAGGAAAGGAGGAGAGGGAAAGGGGAGAAGGAGTTTAAGGGATGAGGGGGGGGAAGGGGAGGAACGAACTAGCTAACCCTGGGGAAAGAGGACTCACTATCACGAATGCTGAATTATGGTCGAAGAGGATTGATTGCCCAAAGAGACAGCCAGGTTGATCGGTCGACTCGATTTGTTGTGGTCTTTGAATGCGCTGTCAACCCAACACAGTCGGCGTGGTTCTTCCGTCCGTTGGGTCGCGTACTTGCCATTGGGAGCTGTTGATTGGCCGCTGTCCTCCCGTGACCACTTAGCGGTCAGTTGGCTGAGTCAGCGCCCAATTCTTATCACGTGATGATGTGACGGCATTGCCAGTGGTCGATCCCAGCATCATCGAACTGGAGGGTTCGCGATGACGAGGATCGCCAATGGGCTTCTTGAAGTCCATTAGCGAAGAGCACATCTTTTCGCCTTTCGCCCAGAAATACATGGGCTCTACATTAATATCTTAATATCCCACATTCTGCATGTCCCACAATCGCTCGATCAACACACATCAAGCCTATCCATCAATTAAAGCTACCGCGCAGCTCCAGAAGCAGTAGCTCTGTTTGTATGCATGCACCTCCACTGGGCTTTTTCTGCCCTCTACCAGAAACTGACCTACTATAGACTAATCCAGTCTCATCACCCTTCTCAGCTCCATAATGCTGCACATATAAAGAAAGGAAAATCAAAGAAATCACCATAACGCCAACACCACAATGCACCACCCCCTCATCCTTCTCCTCACCACCCTCCTCCTCTACACCGGCCTCACGACCGCCAACGTCGAAAAAACCATCTTTCTCGGCCCCTCCCCCTCCCTAATTCCCACTCTCACGCCTCCCATCGACGACCTAGGCCTCCCACGCCTGTCCCCCTCGTATTTCCACCACCGCACAAAACTCAATGCCTCCTTCCCCGGCCCCGACTCCGCCGGCACCGACTCATGGTTCTTCCTCGAGCATCTGATCCCCGGGAAACGCTATGAAGTACGCATATGCTGGCTGGCCACTGTACGTCTATTTCCACCTCCAAACCAAAAGCAAACATCCCACAAACAACGCGACTAACTCCTTCTTCCCTTCCCCCCCCCCATAAAAACAGCAACCAACCTCCTTCCACCTAACAACCTACACCCTCCCGCACGCCCTCGAAACCCCAGACCTCCTAGGCGCGATAACCACCTACTCCACCGCCCGGCTCGCCCACCAGCAACACCTGGACGACAATGACCTCGCCCTCCTCTCCGATCTCGACAAGCAGGTCCGCTACAGCCAAAAGAAGAAAAAGTCTACCAACCCCAAGGGGGGGAGGCACGGTGGTATCTTCAAACATTCGCGATTCACGGCCGGCAGTCCCGTCGAGGATACGGCCCCGGTCTCGGATTCGGTGCTGTTCCTGCGGGTCCGCGCCGCGGCGGACTACTACTCCACCGATCCAGAGCTCATGCAGAGCGTGGCCCCCGTCGTGGTGGATGTGATCCTGGATCCGTATCTGGGCAATGTATTCCCGCGAAGCTTGGTGCCGACCGCCGGGTGGGTGGTGGTGGTGGCTGGGGTAGCGGTCTTCGTGGGCCGTTGGGTGGTTGCGGAGCTGGGGCGAGTCGTGGACTCGATTGCTTTGGAGGAGCAGGAGCAGGAGCAGGAAGGAGAGATTGGTGGTGAGAGGGAGGCAAAGAAGATACAGTGATCTCTCACCTCCGATCTAATGCATAGCCCGATTTATCTTATGTGTAAATATATTGATTATGACTCGGTACGATATAGCGTCGACTCTGTGACTTGGAAAATGTATAACTTGATTGAATGAGTATTGGGAAAAGGCGTGGAATCACATTCATGGTCATGGGCAGCATATACACAGCAAGCACTAGGCAAACATAATAACATGAAGATCATTCAATCATAGTATGTGAGCGTCTATCATCACAACACAATTATGTGTCATCAACTAAATTGGAACGGAACATGGCATCGGGGAGGTAGGTCGAGCAATCAAGTACCAAAACAGGAGGGGGAATAGTGAAAAGGCAGCAGCAACAACAACCCATAACTGACAAACCATCTTCGAAGGCAGCAAAGCAAAGCAAAAGCATCCTCTAATCGGCACATTTGCTTGTACCTTGTAGTAAAGATAGCTTTTCTCTAGAAGAACTCTAATCTTCAAAGAAATGAAGCACGGCCCGCATACCCTTGGTGCCCATGCCATGCGGGGGATAGGCGATGTAGAGCGGATCGTCCTCGGCACCCAGCTTGGCTCGGAACTCGCTCTTGCGGACCAAGCCGAATTGCTTGGCGATCGTGTCGTAGGTGTGCTGCAACATCTTGATTTTGGGGCCCTTCAAGTTGTGTCCGGGCGTCAGCGTGGACATAGCGCCAGCACCGAAAGTCAGAGACTTGACACCGGCAGCAGCCGCCGTCTGGATCGCCTGGGTGACAATATACTCGATAACTCCATTGGGCGCGCCCGGAAAATCAAAGCTATACTTGATCTGCATGCCGTGCACAGGCGCCAGGGTGGCCAGTGCCACAAAGGCGCAGATAGTGCCCGACTTGTCGACAGCATAGAAATACCAGCGGTGCTCAGGATCACGCCATGGACGAATCTCCGACAGGTGCACCTGGGTGCCCTTGCGGTTGCTCAGCCAGTCCTGAATGCGCTGGTCGATCTTCTCGCGCACCTCATCCGACACCATTTCTCCGTTCTTGAGCGCCACCACCTTGACTTCTTCGTTCTCTGCACGCCGAATCTTGCGGGCAATCTCGCCATCCGTGGCAGCCATATTGCGCGAGGGATTAACACGCTCCTCGGCAATGCAGGACAGAGTGCGCCAGCCGAGACGCTCACCAAGCACGTCTTCAACCTCAGCTGAGCATAGCAGCCAGACAGGCTTGTACTTGGTCTCGCGCCGTAGCCACTGGAGAAATTGAATGATCACTTGACGGTATTGCCGGGTGTCACAGAGGGGATTTCCAGGAATGACCACATAGTTGCTCGTGCTTACGACATAGGCAATGGCGGCTCCGGTACTCATGTCACGCCAGATCTTGAAACGTTCGTCACCCCAGGAAGTGGAGGTAGCGTCACCGTAGTTGGCGATGAGGTGCTCGATGGGTTGCAGCTCGCTTTCGTTTTCCGCCACGTTGCCCTTCTTGTCGCGCACCCACGGAGGTTCAATGGTAGACGACTCGGGATGACGCAATTGCATCACAGGAGGCTTCGCGGGGAAGCTACGGGGATCACGATGGAAGAGGGAAGCCAAGCGGATGTTGCCCAGTTTCAGCAATAGCATCAGCAGGCGCTCAAGACCAACGCCAGCACCCGCATGAGGGGGAGCTCCCCAGCGGAAACCTTCCATATATTCCTCCATAGTGTCTGGTTGAATGCCCACGCGCTTCATGTTCTCCTCCAGCATGTGTGGGTCGTGGATACGCTGACCACCGGAGACGATTTCCTGGCCACGAATGAAGATATCGAAGGAGTTGGTGAACCGGCTGTCCTCAGGATCAGGCATGGTGTAGAAAGGACGAGCATTGACGGGGAATTTGTCGAGGATGTAGTAATCAGTGCCGTACTTCTCCTTCACGAGCTCGCCCAGGCGAATCTCATCGCGGGTGCTCAGATCCTCGTCCTCAGGCAATGGGTTACCGTCTTCATCCCGCCAGCCCGAGTCGTTCAGCATCTTGATGCCGTCAGAGAATCGGAGAATCGGGGTTTTCTCCAGCCAGACGACATCTTCGGACGGGAATTGGTGCTTGATGGTGTCAACTTCGCGCCGGAAGCGGCGGTAGACACCTTCCAAAATGTTCTTGATGACCGAGTCCAACACCTCGAGCATCTCATGGTAGTGCTCCTCAATAGCCATCTCAATGTCCAAGCCCGTGTATTCAGTCAGGTGGCGGTGAGTGTTCGAGTTCTCCGCACGGAAGACAGCACCGATCTCATAGACTCGACCAAAGTCGGCCGCGATGGCCATTTGCTTAGCCAATTGCGGACTCTGAGCCAGGAAAGCATCCCGACCGAAGTATTGAACATGAAAGACACTGGCGCCAGACTCCGTGGCGGAACCTTGCAACTTGGGGGTGTGGATCTCAATGAAGTTCTGTTCGTCGAGGGCGGTACGGAAGAGGTTTCCGATGGCGGACTGGATTCGGAAAATGGATTGAGAGGTGGGGGTACGCAAGTCAAGCAGACGGTTAACGAGACGGGTTCTATCGGGAATGCGGCTGTGTCGCCCCTCCACACGTTCTTCCTCGGCAGTCTGAATTTCAGCCTCGTAGACACTGAAGGGAACAGGCTCCTCGCGACGGACAACGAGATGCAGCTCCTTGATAGCAACTTCAACATCATGAATGGTGCAGCCCAAGACGGGGACCTGAGGGGCCTGAACAACGCCCCGAACCCGAACAATGCTGCCCAAGCGAAGATGTTCGGCCCAATGAACCATTGCTAGGGAAACCACGCCTGGTTCATCATGCAGGACGCCCTGGAAGGTGAACAATTGCTGGCGGAAGACCAAGAAGACCAACTTGGCGCTCATGCGACGGATGATGTGCAGACGGGCCGTGAAATAGACTTCCTGGCCAACCAGAGAGGCAGAAATGTCCGTGAAATTAGTACGTAGCTCATGAGTACGGGTTCGGGACTGCATGAGGGGTAGTTCGCCATATCGAGCCTTCATCTCGGCGGTCTCTTCGCGGGCGGCAGTAGCAATCTCCTCCTTATGACGCATGTCCGAATCCTCTGAATGACGTTCCTCACTGAGGCGCGAACTCTCCTTGCGCTGTTTCCGGGCCAGGCGCTTCTGTTGGTTTTTGCTCATTCCCCCCGTGGCAGAGGAGTCGTCCGATACATCATCGGAGGACGAAACATAGTCGCGATCGCGCAGGATGTTGCTGAAGATGGTGCGACGCGGGGAGAGGGACACGGAGGGGCTACTGTGACCATCCTCTCCGGTGGACGTTCTGGACGTTTTAATCTTGGAGAGAGCACGTTTGATCGACATTTTGAGGGATAGTTCTCCCAGATGGGAGAGGAGGAGGGGGTGGTATTAGTATTATGAGAATGGTGGTGAGAAGAGGAAGTAAGACGGACAGGAGGAGGAGGAGGAGGAGGGGAAAGTGAGAGAGGGAAAATAAGGTAATTGATAAGACTAGAGAATTAAGCAGAAGGAGGGGCTGGGCAACCGAGAGAGAGAGGAGGGGGAGGGGGAGGGCAGGATGCAGTGAGCGTTTTAATACGAGGGAAGAAATCGGGCCCAACCAGGGTCCAGATGCTTACTAGGTTTATTAATCCTCAAGTAAGTCAGTCAATTCGAGGAGAACCACGGGTGGATCAGGATTCAAGCAAACAAGCAAGAAAGCTACTATACAATACGTAGTGTAGCAGAAAAGAAAATAAGCTAAAGACAAGAAAAGAAAAAGGGAGCACAAGCCACGAAATGGAAGATCAATATTGACTCCGTTGCGTGGGAAAGGTTGCTGGGGATCGCAGAGACCGAGGCCGGAAGACCGGCAATGATGTCATGTGGGAATGATGAAAGAGTGTCGGAACGGCGATTTCTTTCCTTTTTCTCTCTTTTGGATCATTCTTTCAGCCCTAAGCAACGACAATTCCCCTTGTCAAAACCGGAAATCATTAGCAACTATGATGTGATCCAAGACTTGGGTTTCTTCCTCGTGGTCAATTGTCCCCTTTTGCTCTTTGGCCTTTTGGTTCCATCTTCATCGCATTATTACTTCACCTCTCGATGCTTGTCTGTCTATCTACTTCCGTATTCGTATACTTACTGCACCCCCCCCCCCCCGCTGCCATTCCTGCATTAGACGCCCCATGCTTGGCATCAACTGATCACCATTCCATCCTTCCCGTCTCACCACATCCTCCATTCTCTTTATCTCTTGCTTCGTCACTCTCTGCCTCTCAGCCAGTTTCTCGCTGGGGGTATACTGGATCCATCCTCTTCTCCATAACATAACCTTATTCTTCCCGTGCGTGCTTGAATTGTCACCTGCCCAATCAATTAATCATGGCTCACTCGTCCCGCTGGTGGTTGTATGTCCAGGCCATCTTCTGGCGGTTCCTTATGCGCATTGGCATGTTCATCCACGATGTCCTTCCCCCACGTCCCTCTCGCCCAACCTTTCGCCGTTCCTTTCCCTCCTCTGAATCCGACTCGCGTTCCGCGCGGATCCATCTTCATTTCTACTGCCCAAAGGACTATCAGGTCGCCAAAAAAGAAGGCCGCCGACTTCCGGTCGTCGTCAACTTCCACGGCGGCGGGTTCACCCTCGGCCACGCCACCGACGACAGCCGCTGGGCGCAATGCATCTTGTCGGAAGTCGGCGCCGTCGTTGTCAGCGTGGGCTATCGCCGCGCCCCCGAACATCCGTTTCCCGCGGCCGTGGACGACGGGGTGCGCGCACTGCAGTATCTCGCCGCCCACGCTACGGAGCTGAGTCTAGATGTCTCCCGAATCGCCCTCAGCGGCTTCTCGGCTGGCGGCAATTTAGCGGTGACCGTCCCGCTCCGTCTCCGGGGCCTGCTGAGCCAACAGAACTCCAACAACTCCACGCTGTCGCATGTGATCCACACCGACTCCTCCCAGCATCTCGTCCAATCCCCTTCCAATGAGCTCAACATCGTCGCCCTCTTCTGCTGGTACCCCATCCTCGACTTCGAGGAGTCCCGCGACCACCGCCGCGCCATGAGCCTCATGCCCAGCAAGACCCTCCCGGCCTTCTTCACCGACCTCTTCGATGAATCCTACCTCCCCGACCACGCCGACCGCCGCTCGCCCTACGCCTCGCCCGTGCGCGCCTCGGACGAGACCCTCGGCGACGCGTTGCCGCACGACATCTTCCTCTACATCTGCGAATGGGACATGCTGCTTAAGGAGGGTCAGGAGTTCGTGCGCCGCTTGCAGAAGATCCAGAAGCACGTGCGCGCCATGATGATCGAGAAGGTTCAGCACGGGTGGGACAAGTCACCCAATCCGTTCCGGGATCAGGTCAGTGTGGATATCCTCTATCAGGAGGCTTGTGCCGCTATGAAGCGTATTTTTGAATCGTAAAGAACGGACGAAGAGTAGAGCAACCCAAAAGAAGATGGGCTGTATCCGTATACTTGCACGCATCCACATACACAACAACCGAGTGCAAGACCTATTATTGTTTTCTTTCTAGCGATGAGCGGGATTATCTATTCTTAAAGCGGGTTATTTGGGTGGGGGAACATCTGAGTCTTGCGATGGTTGGCACCGGCGTCACAACTGGATGGATATCTTTATGTGTACATATGTATGCGCGCTGCTTTGCGCAGTTTGATGTTGCTCGGTGGTGTGCAGGCATCATCTACAGTCTTGCATACAAGTGATTTCTTTACGGGAGGAATTAGAACGGGCGGAAAATAGTCCCGTATCTTGTATTTATAAACTCTAATTTGCCCGCAGGCTGATCACCATGAATGCTCATGCCGGTCTACCTCCCCTATAATGTCTTAGTACCCAGAAGACTTCAGACAGTCGACGTCTACATGACTAGCCGCGAATTACTCCCCCCAAGCCATTCTTTCCCCCAGGTTCCACGCTCTCGTCTTCACCTCCTTCCACCTCATCCATGGTGGTGGACGTCGAGGCAGAGGACAAATATATCAACGGCCCAGTCCACAGTCAGAAAGATTGATCCAGGGACATCAGCGTCAGGTGACGAGCCAGCTTTGTTTTCAAAAACAACCGGGCAGCTCAAGTGCACACTACCTACTACACTTCTATCTCTTTCCCACTCTACCTTTCTACCTTCCTCCCCTTCTTCTCTCTTCCTTCTCCTGCCGGGCTCAAGTGTCTATGCCTTTGGTTTCTATTACTCCAATCGCCTTCTTTTCACCTGTCTATTTTCCCTGGTATCTAACATCCCTCAAAACGAAGAGCGAAACAGCAACTACATCTAGTTTGGGGGGTGTGGTGCAATGGCAAAAGCCATGAGTCACCAGATTTCTCGTCACGGCATTACGGTTCTCTGTTCCAGCATCTCCACCCCAAGAAGCTTTCATTTTAAAACCCTGACTTGGTGCTATCGCATGCGCAGACATTGGCCAAGACCCGAGAACTCTGGTTGACTGGACTATTTAACTCGTGGAGAGACAACACTCAGGGGCAGTGCTTTGAGAGACAGTGAAACACCTCAACCAGTCTCGATTTACAAAGCGGAGGTTAAGGGGGAGCCCCTTTTTTTGAAAAGTCACGGTCTGGCTTGCGGTCTGCTTGTTCTTTGACATTCAGAGTCACACCTCACACGTCATTGCAACACTCGATAAATCGAGCCAAATGTCCGCTATCTGACCTCTATCATCAATCTCCATCTCGAACTCAACCCCGAATATATACTACGTGAAAGCATGGCTGTATACCACCTACCACTCAGTCTAGAACCGTGGCCGTTGAAAGAGATGAAACAGAACATACCGGGGAGACAGGGACAATCAAACGCACAACGCATGCTTAACCATCCTATTCAACCTACGGTCTATAAGGCTTCGGTGGAAGAAGCTGTGCAGGGCCAGCTCGGAATTTCAGTCTGACACGGTTGGCTACTACCGCGGCCTCCATCAGCTTGCCCGCGTGAGAAACGGATTTGTAGACACTATAGGGCCTATGGTCGACAGTACAACTGCGAGGTATCTAACGCGGATATCGAACCAAGTTGTTCTGCTTCGAGAGTTGGGCTTGGGGTAAATATCCTTGCTTTCGTGGACAAGACAGACCTCTTCAGGGCCGTGACTCTCGTGACTACACCCACGAAGCATGGCTCTTGACTATGCGGAGCACCCAGAGGCCATTTATAATCGCCCCCATGGCCATCCCATACCTCTACGGGATCCATCAATCTACCTCGCATCATCATCGCTACTTGACGGCCATGCAACGCTCACTACGGCGCACCGGCGGGTCACCCATTGATCATCATGTAAAGTTGAAAGGGCCATCGTCGATGGTCAGGGGAATGTATATCTCTATGGTGTATGAAGCTCGTTGCAACTTTCCTGGGCTATCATCCATCATATCTGCGCAGCCATTTTTCTACTTATTACCTTGTGCTTCAATTTTGGGGTTGTTGAACACATACAAGACGTACATAGGCTATCGTCATGACATTGCGTGCCTGGCAAAGTCCATGCTCAGGGAAGAGCTGTGATTGATTGATACTTAGTTTACGTCGAAGGGAAAAATCGACTCCATGGCGAGTGACACTTTCCAACCCCTGGATTTTGCCGAGTCGAAACCACGGCGCGGAAGTAAAGAGTGAAGAATATATCCGCGACAGGGCTAGGGTACATACTAGAATAGTCATGTGAATCAAGCCCATGGACATCCAACAAACACCACAGCCCATTGCGATCGATGGCAGTAGACGCAGTAAATAAAAATTCCGCACATCACCACACCAATTTATTCCTGAAGACATTAGACAAAGCCCAAGAACCCAATCCAAAGAAGACCACGAAAAAAAAGAAAAAAGGATAACCCCGCCCGATACGAGGCTCGAACTCGTAACCTTGAGATCACTATTATGACTCCCGAAAACGGGAGATGCCATAAAAGTCTCACGCGCTGACCAATTGTGCCAACCGGGCCTGGTTGGAGAAATCGCCGCCCAATAGACCTTATATGGTGAACTTAGACCAGTAGTGGCAAAAGGACACACAGGCACACCAAGGCCAAAAAGGAAACTTGCGCCCCGTGTGAGGCTCGAACTCACAACCTTGAGATTAAAAGTCTCACGCGCTGACCAATTGTGCCAACGGGGCGTTGGTTGACATACTGATCATATAGTGAGTAATATATCCTACCATCATGTCTTTGAACTGCGCACCCATGCACTGACTGGTGGGCGCGTTGGGGCATAGAATACCCTTTCGCCGGACCTCTTACACACACACACACACTCTCTCTCTCTTTCTTCATTCTTTTCTTTTTGTTGCCTATCTCGTATCTCAAAAGTTCAAGATGTGTATCACCATGGGGAAATTTACTGAAGCTGAATAATGCTTATGGTATGAATAGGACAGACATGTTGCAAACACAAGCTGGACTGCAGTCCGGCCAGGCTCTCACCCAGGCATTATTGAGTGACCCATTCCGGCCCAGCTAAAAGAAAAAAAAAACCCCATGGACCTTCGCTACATTGAATCTGGGGTGGAGATAGTGTAGAAGGAGCCGCAAGAAATGGCGTGGAACTACTTGTCATTGGGTCTCGACTATGGCATAAGAAAACCGACTAGATAGGCTGTCAGAGGATGGCAATTTTGTTGAATGACCCCCTCCCCCCTTCTCTTCCCCCACACACAAACAGAGCAGTACAAGCACAATCATTCAAGCTAACCTTTCTGTTCCGTTCCTCTTTCTCTCTCTTTTTCTTTTTCTTTCCCCACCTCCCACCCACTCAGACGACTCTCTTCCCTCGGTAGAGCATGCTTGTTCTTCCTCATTGTCATACCAAGATCTCTCGCCGTGAGATGTCTTTCGCGAATCCTTACTTACTTACATTACAACATACCCCGTAGTGCAAGCAAGCAAGAAAATCTTGGCAAAGAAGAAAAAAATCGCCCGATGCGAGGGTCGAACTCGCAACCTTCCGATTAAAAGTCGGACGCTCTAGCCATTGAGCTAACCGGGCAATTTGTAATCAGTTTTTACAAAAAGGGCTATACAACCTAGGATGAGGTGTACAGTAGCGCTATCCTGCAAGCGGTTCGATATCCATTGTTTATACAGTGGCAATATAAGATTCGAAGAACAATTGGGGAAGACATCTGGTTGGTTGAGAAAATGATCATCTGATTGGCCATCTAGATGAACAAGGTTATACCAAAATCATTCTCACATGACATATTCGGCCTCATCACCCCCCAAAACAGGACAGAAGAAAATCGGCAAAGCACATAGCCGACATGGTCATGTAACCCCATGCATCAAATGAAATCAGTTCGAGACAGCAGCTGGCTAGAACGGAAGAGTGAAACAAAAGAAAACCAAAATGGGAACGAAAAGATCTAAGAGAGAAAAAAGGGTATTGGGCTCGCCAAGCACAAGAAACACGGAATCAGCGCTTTTGCCTTTCTTTTGGTCCTTCACCAGAAAACACTTTTTGGTTCATCCATTACATATCGTCATCAGTCTCGGTCCCAACGCTCAAGTCGTCGTCGGACACATCCTCTTCGTCATCTGCCTCACTGTCGTCCTCGTCGTCCTCTTCATTATCCAACCCCGGGATGCCCCGCCACTCGACATAGTCACCCTCCAACCAACGGCGACTGCGAGGGAGCTGGTATGGATCGAAGGGGAAGTAAGAGTCCGCTTGATAACCGACGTCATCTCCCGCGCGGATCTCTCGCTCCACCTGGTGAAAGCGCGGGTCCGCCAATGCAGACAAACTGCGATAGGTCGAAATCCGAACGCGCTTGTTTGTCTCCAGAATGCTGTACACATACATCAGGTTGAAGTGTTGAGACATCCGGGCGAACTGTGTCACGATAGCGGGCGAGCACACTTTGAGCGGGTTGAGCTTTGAGTAGATAGTTTGACGAAGCACCTCCTTCACCGAGGGCGGGAAGAGGATGTCTTCAGGTTCCAGTTCTTCTACTTGCTCTGGCGTGTCACCTTCGATTGCCGCCGTGGTCAGGTCCCGCCAGCGGAAACAGAAAATATAGAGCAATGCCTGGGATATCGAGTAGAAGAGACCATATCGACGGGGGTCGGGTCCCCGGCACGTGTCCTCAAATTCGTTACGGAAGCTGGTCAATTCCGCACCTAGCAGGTCGAACACATCTCGCGCCATCTCGCCAGAGATATGGGCGCCACGTGCGACAAGACTAGCCAGGTAGGCGACAGCCGATTGCCGCAAGATGGCCGGCTGTCTCCGGTTGGTCATAGTGTGAATACAGGTGGAAGCGAAGCGTTCCGCGAGTTCGGGAGATGTTTGGGAGTAGTGAAAAAGGAGGAACTGAGTGTGGCGGGAGCGATGGTTGGGAAGAATAATGGTTTGAAAGTGGCTCAACAAGAGCTCGAGGGCGTTCTCCTTATCCTGAAAGGAGCCGGATGCGAACGCCGGCGCATAGTATTCGAATAACAAATCGATCATGCCGTCCAGCTTCAGGATGTTGTCGCGAACGGTTTTGATACGCTGAGAGTCGTCGTCTACAGACTCATCGCTCAGGACGGAAGCGTCGTCATCGTCATCGTCCTCCTCGTCGTCGGCCATGATAGCCTCTGGCGAGACGCCGCGCAAAACGTCTTCGCCTACTTCGTCTTCGATTTCTTCCAGATCCACCTGGATCTGAACGTCAATCTTGACGACCTTCTCTGTGATCAGAGCTAGAATATCTGCTTGCAGCTCCGGTGTATAGCTGCTGATCTTGAGCAGGTTGCTCGTGTAGGCAATATTGGCCTTGGCAGAATCCGTATCGAAAGGGAAATGCATGGACAAGATTGGGGATAGCGATCCACTGCCAGACGGGATCAACTGCATGACATAGCGCAGGGCCATATGGACCCGCATGTAGATCTCCGAGGCCGGCACGGGGACGTAGCCCGGCACCTTGCCAGTGTCCTTGGGAAGCTCGCCCATGTAATTAACCAGCATCTTGAGCACTGGTCCCAGATAAATGCCCTGGGCGGCAGAAAGATTACCAAGGAAGCGTATATACAGCTTGATATAGGACTCGTCGCGACCGAGCCACACACTATTCAGCACAGCCTGGACTAGTCCGTTGCAACTGCGATCTAGCGCGGCAACGTTTGACGAAAGACCCATCAGATGATATCTCAAGGATGTGGGTGTAGGTACATCAGATAGAAGGTGGTCCTCGTCCGGGCGCCGAGGGTCCACCGAGAAGAGCTCCTTGATCCGGTCATACGCCTCACTGTCGGTGCCAGAGACATGCCGTTGGATGGCCCGACGCACCTCCTCTCGTACGACCGAGGCACTCTTTTCTGGTTTCGACTCCCGCTCGGGCGCTCTCTCATAGTATGGAAGTTCGCGCATTTCCACCTCTGGTTCAAACTTGACCCTAGCTCGCTTGCGAGGACTGGGGTTGAATTCGGTCTCGGAGTTCAGCGATGAAGACGGTGACAGAGAGAGATCGTCGTCCTCCATCCTGCGCTTTATGCCGATCACTGAGTTTTCTCGTTTGGGTGTTTTCAAAATGGGCACGGGGGACGCTTTGGCTAGCATCTTAGAAGGGTTTGTCAACGGCCTGCGCGAGGCGGTGGCAATGGATCCGACCATGACCGAACTGATATTTCTATGGAAGGATGGATGCAAGGGAATTGTAACAGCAACCGGATTCCATTCAGGACGAATGAAAGAGGGGCCTGCTCAGCGTGGGGGAGATGACAGAGGAGAGCTGTCGACAGGTCAGATGGTGGATGATAACGCGATGCGCACGACACGGCTGAGGCAAGTCGTTCAGTGAACCTCGGATGTTGCTACAGGGGATGGACACAGTAAATGATCAAGGAAATAAGCACCTTGGTCCATCCATTGAAAGACACACACACACGCCAGGGAAAGGGGAGAACGTGGAAGGCGGGCACAGGTAGACTTCAACAGAGAGGAGAACGGCTGGAAGAGGAGAGGGAAGATTAGGAACTTGAACGCAAGGCGGAGAAGACGTAGAAGACACAGCATGAATTTTTTTGGGTGTGGGGCGGATGTGGAGCCTGAGGCCGGAACCCCGTGACTAGCGCGTGACCCTCGCGCCTGAGGCTTTGCCTACTTGGGGCATATGTATGTTTCCGGTTGGAATCTGTCTCTTCGCTCCACTTTCTGCCTCAATCTGATCGACCTCTCGACGCTTTCTGCACATACTCTGAGAATCTATCGCATTGGGAATGGCAAATCTTCACTAGCTGGAAGCAAACTACTATTGCCGAAAATAAGCAGAGACAGAGATAGAAACCATGGTCGCATTCGGTAGCACAAATTGACATCTCTATCAAACAGATATGCAATGTTATCACATGGCAGCCACAATACACACACAGTCCAAGGAGAAACAAACATGGGACACAGACAATCACAATCCTCCCGTGGTATATAGCGGATGAAGGTTCAAAAGGGCAATTAAATGACAAGACATTAAAAGAGTGAATATGAGTGGGTCATGACACAGGTTAGCACCTGATTAAAAGAAAGGGATAATCCAGTACCCAGAAGAAAATGCCATCTCACTGGACAGTGGCCATCAGAAAACGTGAAGGAATGGAAAGGAGCGCCAACTGCTTAAAACCAGGTGCCAGAGGCAATTGGTCCAAGCCGATCATCGAACACGCTCCCATAGAGGTCTTCAATCTCCACCAGATACTCATCAACAGTGAACTTCCTCAGCCCTTTGTCTCGCAAGATCAGTTCTTCCTCATCGAGCACGCGCGTACCACCGAACTCCTCGACGACCTCGTTCACCTGCTCAAGTTCTTTGCTGAAAGGGTGAGGCTCCATGTGATAAGCCTCAGAACCTTGACGAGCAGCAGAGGTGCTGCGTGTCGAGTTCAAAGGAGGAGGCGACAGTCGAGATACAGATCGTTTGCGGGCTAGCTCTTGATGCGAGCGCTTCGTGTGAGACAGGGCGCGTTTGGGTACCAAAGGTGCCTCCGCTGAAGACGCGGTGGATGTTGACGAACGAGGAGTGGTGTGGCTGCTGACAGTCGCTGAGCGCTTGGGAAAGTAAGTGGGTAGAGGAGCGGGATCGGCATCAACGGGGGACTCGCCCGGGGTTGTGACAGGCGATCCAAAGCTTCGCTGTGTAAATGAGACATCTGAATCATCGGGCCACTGAATCGAGGATGTTGAAGATGAGGACGCAGAATGAAGGTCCGGAGCATTGTAGGCCAGCATGTTCGTGGTCGACAATAACTCGACGGGCGCAGAGATCTTGCCTCGATTAATAGTGCCTGCACTGAACTTGGAATGTCCCTCACGGTAAGGCATCGGCGCGGAAACCTCAGGGCGCTTGCTGCGCTTCGTGAATGCCCTGGTGAGAGTCGACATGGTGGTGGTGCTCGGGATCTATACGAACAACAGATGGATGATCAAGCGGTGCTGATAAGGGCCGATCTATCCAAGTGGATCAGTCGGCCTATTTGTTTGTGCGTCGTTCGCTTCTTTTGGTAAGAGGATATGGAATTCGCTGTGGGCGTCGTCTCCTATTTTTAGAGGCTTTTCTTCAGGTACTCAATTCGTTTGCAAAAGCGCCAGTCGCCTTGTGCGGAATAGACCGAGAATGGGTAGTGGATGATCGCGGGGTGGCGGAGACCAAGAAGGAATGGAAGATCGATTGCTGGAATGTCCGTTATCAGATACGACTGAAGCGCTCTTGAGATCCCGAAATAAGATCAAATCAATAGAGACGTTTCCTGTCGATAGGTTTGGTGTATTTCTTCCGGAGTAATTCGTGCACAGCAGAAAGGAAGAAAGCAGTTGGTCGGATGGCGAATAGGATATTCGGGAAGGATGAACTGCACGACTCAAGGGGGAGCCAGAGCCAACGAGTTTGCAGCAGCACCGCGATGTACAGAGAAGGTCCGGGCGGACAACCAGGACGCGCCACAGAAGAGAATAGAATTAAAAGGCCTTTCAAGGTATGAAGGCAAGGAAGGAAGGAAAGGAAAGGAAGGGGATCCAGGATTCTCCGATCGAGGATGTAAGAATCAGAGTACGAGAAAGGAACGGCAAATAACCCCCAAGGAGGAATGGAGGAGGGAAGAAAGAGGGGAAAGAGGAGAGAGGAAGAAGCAGACGAGGAGGCCCGGGGAGGAAGGAAAGAAAAGGGCAGACGACGGACGGGACCGAAGGAAGGAAGCAAAGGAAAAGAGGCAACACCAACAGAGTCGAGTCACCGTGGACTAATCAACCAGGAACGTTATTGGGGAGGGGGATGATCTCTCTTTGCTCTCTTTCTCTCTTTTTTTCCCGTCTTCTTTTTGCTCTACTCCATAAATCGTACCGTATTATCCTCCTCTCTGGTGTCTCCCTCAGCGCTTCTAATCTCCACTTTATCTCGCAGAACAAAAAAAAGTCTGGGCTGTTCGGGAGGTCAAATTGGTGGGTGATTCCGTGGATGATCAAGCCCTGCGCCAAACCTCCGGTCCAGTAAGGTTCAATTGCTTGCTTGCAATGTCCTTTGTTCACCTGTGGTACGGCTTAGAATTGGCGCTGGTTGAGACCCAGAATGGGGAAACAATGGACCTTCCAGAAAGACAAAGAATTCGCCTCTCCAGCCGTTCGTGCCTATCTTGGTGCAAAAAGTCGATCGCAAGTCTGGTTCGGTTGAACCGCCGGTTCGGCGCTGGGGTTAATATGCAATCGAACCAGCAGCACAGCATGGAGAAAGCCCAAGAATTGGGGATCTTGCGAGGGGACTGACTGCATCATTCTTGCCCAAATAGTACGTTGCGCTCAGTACAAAGCAAGTACTCCGTACTCACCTTCTTTTTTGTTCCGGTGCTCCGACGGGCAGGACAGGCAAGTCAGGCGCGGCTAGTCGTGCGCTGCGATTTGCTGCATAGATCGAATAGTCTCGACCTCCAGGAGCGTTCAAGATTCCACAGTACCAAATCGGCCACGGCAAAGGTGCTACGTCCGGTGGCCAATGATACATGAGGCGTCCAAGGTGGGGTACACTCGACTTATCCAGCATGACATAGAGACCATGTACTCCGTAGTCTAAGATGTAAGCTATGGGTTTATACGAGCCATGCTTATGCTTCCCGGCACGAATTCAAGCATCTAAGGGATAAAGACCCTGATGAACCCTAGATGCCACGATAAGACCGGCTAGAGCTTGAGCTAACCTCGAGGTCCCAAGGGTAGGGGGGATTTAGGGACAACCAGGATTTCATGGACAAAGAACGAATTGGTAAGTAGCATTGCACGGTAAAAGCTCCGTTGTCGTCTGAGACGATGGTGATTCGAAGAGATAGTCGGAATCATCTAAACCCAAGCGGGCGTGGTCAAACACGGGACTGCAGGCGACGATGAGGTGTGGCCAGCCCACTCGGGTTCTGGGCCAGGAAAGGCAAGGTGGCGGGCCTCCTGGAAACCGCCATGTGCCCTGAGCGGTGGGGATGAAACAAACTGCCGTCTCACCTGCTCGGACTCTGTGACGGATGCTCATATCCGCATGACGTTGCTTGTTTTTCCCCCTTCCGCATGCAGTTCCGGTCGTTGGTTCAGGTTCTGGCTACGGAGTAGGTACTTTAAGCCTTTTCAGCTACTCATGCTTGTTGTTCCACCGCCCATGTCGTCGGCCGGGGTCGTCGACCCCTGGCCGAATGAATGTTGTATATGTACCGTACCGCATGAGGAGGATCAGGATCTGTCCGCGCTTGCGGGCAGTGGGCAGTGGGCAGTGGGCACAAATCCAGCGAGAACCACCGGCAAGTTTGAGATTTTCAGCGTCCCCACTCCCGGGTCAACTTAATTACAATTAGATTGGCTCTCAGTTGACCTGTGCTTTTTTAGTGTGGATGTCTTTTTTCTCCCACCACGTCTTTAACGATGATACGTCCAGTGGCTCGGAGTTCCCTGCATCAGATTCCTTGTCTCGATAGAGCTGGGTTGTTGTTGCGATGGTCTGTCATTTGTTCAGGTGCGTCACCGGACGGAGGTGATCCATAAGGTTACCTTTTCATTTCATTCATCCATCCATTCCTTACATCACCGGTGATAGTATGCCGTAGTCCGTACTCTCCGTAACTTAGTACCGTACTACGTAGGACTTTGTCAAACTCTGCTGAATGGACTCCGAGGATAAGCCAGGCCAGACACACCATGTGATTGGTACTGTACTCAACCTGAGGCATCAGACAATGTCTGTTCTCGGTAAGCCAAACGGCCGATCGTTGCCAGGCCGGGCAATCCCCCGTCCGCGCTTAACTTATCTCGTACCGTACTCATATGTATCATCCATCCGTGACCATGGATTCCAGTTTCATCGTCTGAATGGGTATCGTGACGTTTTCATTGCTGGTCAATAAAGGACTATGAAAAAGAAGCAGACAACAAAAGAAGCACGACAAAAAGAGCTATCTGGATATCTTCGTAAATTTTGAAGGTTCGACCTGAAATTGTCTCGATCTTCGTCATCACGTGCTTTCGCTTTTGCTTAATCCTCGTCCATCGACTCCCAGCCATCGCCGCCCTGCCCACCGCCAACCTCCTGTCCAGCATCATCGTCCGACTCATCCTGATCGGGCTGCATGCCCACCATGCGCTCCTTGACCTCGCCTTCCAAAGACGGCATGCGCGACACGAATGCGCGACGCACTGCCCCGTTGGTGGAGGTATCCCAAATTTGGACCACGCCCTTGCTGCCGGCCACGGCCAGGCGGAAGCTCACGTCGGCATCCGGTGCAAAGCTTGTCGAGAAGACCTTGCCCACCTCCAGCTTGCGCGAGACGACCATGCTGGGCTTGTTGTCCTCCACATTCCAGAGCTTCACCTGCTTGTCCGTCGATCCCGTGACCAGGAAGCCGGGGATAGCTGGGTTGATGTCGAAGGCCGACACGGAGGAGTCGTGCGCCTGCAGCGACCACACGGGCTTGGACTCCTTGGGGCTGGCGGGGATGTTGCGCACGTCGTAGCGGTACACCATTCCGCCATCGGTCGTCACGTAGAAGTAGTTGGGGTCATGGGGGTCCCAACGCACGTTCTCGACATCCGTATCCACGCCCCAGCGAGCCTTGGAGTCGGGCGCGCGCATATCCGCGGCCACCACGGTCCGGTCGTAACTACCAGTCAACAGGATCGTAGATTCGGTGGGATGCCAGTTCAGCGAGCAGACCTTGTCGGTGTGGTGAGAGTAGGACTTGGCGCACTTGGTGGTCTGCAGGTCCCACAATTTGACCGTCCGGTCCGCCGAGCCGGAGGCCAGCAGGTTGCGGTGCTGCCGGTTGGCAGCCAATGCCAGCACGGCGTCAATGTGGTACTCGTCGTTGGCCTTGGGCTTCTTCTTCTTCGACTTCTTTCCTTCCGCATCGGCGCCACCCTGGCCGAGAATGGCGTTTGGATACATGCAGTCGACGATGTCGAGATCCCAGATCTCAATATCCGGCTCCATCGTTCCAACCGCGACGAAGTTTCCAGTGGTCCGGCCCTCAGCGGCCTTGCCCACAGGGATATCCAGCCACTCCACGGCGAGAGGAATGGCGGGCAGCATGATGTCGTGGTGTACATAGAGATTGTCGGCGGCGTCCTCGTAGACATAGACCTCGAGATGGGCGACCTCATCCTCCACCTTACCAGCCAGGATCAGGTTATCCTTGGGCATGATCTGCAACTCCTCTCTTTCCTCATCATCCTCCTCCGGCGGCATGACCAGGTACGGGTCCTCCTCGTTCGGTTGGTGGTACGCCAGCGACTTGACATTGCCGAACATGGTGAACTTCTCGCCATCCTCATCGACCTCGTCGCTGTCGTAGTGATCGAGATCGTACTCTTTCAGGTCGTCATCACTGCAATGGAAACCAAAACATTAGGCCTTATCTCTCAGGGCCGCAATTCTCTATACTACAAACGAACGACGGGAAGTCCAATCTCGACTTACTCGGTAGCATTTTTCTTCTCCGCATCAGCCGCGGGCTTCTCGTCGTCCTCCATAGCATCCTCACCGGCATCCTTCTGATCCTCCTCCATGGCCTCGTCCTCCTGCGCGGCCTTCAGGTCACCCTGCGCTTCTTCGAGCTGCATCTTCGCAAGCTTCGATATGCGGTCCATTTCCTCCTCGTTGATTTCATATTTCGTAGGGAACTGGGCTGCGACACCTTGTCGCACCCACGCAGCCGTGGTGATCATAGACGACATGTTGAAGGTGAGTCAGTCGTCACCTTCTTTTGCCGTTTGAACAAAAGTGGTCAAAAAGATGGCGATAGTGAAGGGAGAGAAAAAAAAAGAGACTCGGCGGAAATCGATAAGAAATTCTCCGCGCGTAACCCCAACACAGGGAAAAACTTGCAAAACCTCAAGTCTGGGCCCAAACCAACAAGACGAATCTGCAACTCTGCCTCCTCACAGCGCTCTATATAGTAAGCTGCACAAAAAGTAAATCACCTGGAAAAGATGACCCAGGGAAGAAAACAAATGCGATAAAAGCAACTTCCCCAGTCCCAAATTTTTTTTTCCTCTCTCGATTCCCCCGTCCGGCAGAATCGCCCCTCCCTCCCCAAAGCCCCATGTTCACCGCCTTGGTATCAAATCCCGGCCGGCTCCCGCTGGAAGTCGGAGTGCACTTCAAGTACGAAGTAACTAAAGAATCGCCGCGCAATTGCTCAAGTCCTCTATCCTACGATCAATCCCCCCAGCAAACAACTCCACCAAAGAATCACACCAACAAAATGCATTCCCATCTTCACACCCCTTACAACATCAGTATGGTCCCCCGGCGTCGCAAAAATCCCCTCCCCCCCCAATTCTCAGCTTAAGCCTCAAGGCCTAACGTCCGTGAACACCAAACAGACTGCGAGGAAATCATGACCGCATTGGACGAATGCCACGCCCAAGGGTTCCTGCATAAGGCGCTGGGCAACTGCAACGACATCAAGCGCGAGGTCAACAAGTGTCTTTCGGAGCAACGGTATGCGCGCGCAAAGCAGAACCGCGACCAGGCGCGCGAGAACCGTCGACGGATTGAGAAGATCTGGGCGGACGAGAAGGTGTTTGAGGGGGTTCCTCCTGCTGCTCCTGCTGCTGCTGTGGCTGGCGCTGCGGCTGGCGCTGCGGCGGAGGGAAAATAAAACCCCTCGCGGTGATGAGACTGAAGTATGGCATGATCTTGTTTTTGATATTGTGCTAGCGGATTTTCTTGAATGGTTGGCGTGTAGGAATATGTACTGTACTCTACTCCACACACACACACACACATTGCATCTGGGATTTGGCGTTGGGGAAGGAGGATTACCATTACTGTATTACTTTTTTCGTGTCATGTATTTCTTGTTTGCTGAGAGCTACGATTCCGGGTTGGGAAGATAATCTCGAAAGTTATCATTATCTTCCGATATGAAAGATTGGATATACAACTCACTGCTCATACATATATGGACACATTTTTTTTCTTCCATCCCAAGCCGAACGCCATACTTTGAAATAGCAACACAAAAACCAAGAAGAAAAGCACAAGCCGGGTAAAAGAAGCAGATCATTCGTCCATGGCATCGCCCGCAGCCGGAACCGCAGCAGCAGCGGACTCGCCAGCTTCATTGCCATCCTCCTGCTTAGCACCCTTGTTGTGATGACGACGTCTGCGCTTCGCCTTGGGCGCAGCAGCATCAGCATCAGCATCGGCTCCCTCCTCCGCCGCATTCCCTCCCTCGGCTCCACCAGCATCAGCGTCCTTCCGCTTCGGCCGAGGCGCCGCCGCAGCACCACCCTCCGCAGTCCGTTTCTTCGGCTTCTTCATACTCAACGGATTTGGCCCCTTGGCCTTCTTCATCCCCGGCTTCTTGCCGCCGCTGCTGTTATTCTTAGCGTCTCCCGAGCCCGCCGTCGCCGCAGCCTTAGCCTCCGCCTTCTTCCGGGCCTCCTCACTCAAGCCCGCCCGGAACTTGCCTTGCTCGACGCCGTCGCGGATATCCTCCGACGGGCCGCTCATGGGCTCCAGCACCATGACGGACCGCTTGACATACACGATCGGGACACCGGGGATGGCGCGCGCGCCCTGGCGCAGCTCCCGGGACTTCTGGATGGCGGTCTCGGCCTCGCGGTCCGGGCCGCGCTTGCGCTTCCTGCCCGCCGCGATCGCCGCCCGCTCCTTCTCCTTCTCCGCCGCAGCCGGCGCGTCCGCCGTCGCGAGGATGTAGTGCTCCTTGTTCTTCTTCACCTCCGTGGTCGGCGACAGCAGCGACAGGAGACACTCGACCTCGTCGATCGGGGTCGAGTCCTCGTTGTGCGAGCAGTGGCGGAGGGGCACCTCCGTCGGTGGGGGCAGGAAATGGGGACGCATCGGGTTGTTGGTGCGGGGGTGCAGGGGTTGGTTGGCCATGATAGCAGCGAGGGAGCATTTCGTGAGGACTTTTCAGGGAAGAGCAATAAATCAATAACGGAATCCATCATGCCAACCACCTCATGTGTGTATTGGGATCATTCAGAGGAAAGCTTCAGGCTAAGAACTTACGCGGCTTCACCTTCCCTTGCACTGTGCGCTCCAACGCAGGTATCAACTCCATCTTGAAACTGTGCACTGCGCGCAGGAAATTCGAATCCACTGGACCCCAAGACAATTGTTAGTCGTCGAAGTCGAGGTTGTTTTGCATTCTTGGAATGGGCGGAGCAGATCTTATCAGCGTCCTCTGGGTTGATATTACAACTTACCAAGAACTTGGTACGGCTCACGGAATCCGAATGTGAGTTCATACTGGTGCATCAGCTTGCGGTACTTCTTGGAGCGTTTGGCCCTCATCTTGACGATGGTGAATTGGCCGGATAAGGTGGGGTGGAGTTGATTTCAAGAGACGTCGATGTTTCGGCTTGCTGCGATGATGTCTGAAACTTTTTTTCTGCCGGTGATTCTGCCGGGCGGAGAGTGCTAGCGGGATGCGGTCTGTGCTTCGCTTACTACCCGCAGTCAGGTAGGTTCAGATAGAGCCATGAACATAACACATCGGTTCTTGAGCTCTGCAGTTGTTCATTACATTCCTTTCCCTTTCTTTACCGGAAAGGTGAAATGTCTCCGATCTGAACCAGGGTTTTGTTTGGAGTCAGTTCTTTAGACTATAGGCTGGTCTTGCGTCTATAATCTGGCCGGCAATTGTATGAGGTAGAAGCATAGATTAGAAGTTGTATAGTCTATCAATCAAATCTGTAAACGAAAAGCCTAAGCTGGCAGACAGCGACAAATGCTCCGCATCCCCTTCAAAGTAGACAACATGTGGTATCAATGCCCATCGCCATGCAATATATACACCATCCCTTCACCATTCGACCATTTACACACATTCACTGAACGCCAAGGGTTGCCGTGGCGCAACTGAGCGCCGTTCTGCCCTGTCGACAGTACGCCGACTGCCCAGGCGGCGCAGTCACGCACGACAACACAGTATGAGACCCGAGATATTAGCCACGCATGTCGTAGTCGACAATCCGGTGGATCGCTGTATGCAAGTTATATCAATGCTTGAAATCAGACTCAATGCTCTCTCCTCCTGCACGCACCAACCACGACGCTAATATCGTCCATTTTCCCTGCACCGCGGGTCAGCATCCCTTTCCGCACAAAGCCAGCGGAACCGAAAAGAAAACAAAGCACAACGTACCACCTTGAATGGCCAGACCCTCGTCGATGGCCTTCTCCATATATGGACTCTCCGCGAACGGGTCCTGGGCAATCTCCAACGTAGCCCGGAGGAGTTCCCTAGCGACATAGACCATCTGCTCGTGGGCCAGCACCTCCGGCGGCGCCCACTCAATCTCCTTGTTGTCATAGCGGCCTTGGTGCCACTTGTCGAGGCTCTCGAGAACGACCGTCAGAATCTCATGCTCCCAGAGATTGTCCACGACGCCATCCGAGACCGCCAGCACGATGTCGCCCTCTTGCACGTCGATTTTGCTGAGCACCGCGTCCTTTTTCGGCGTGTCGACGCTGTTCGTGCCCAGCTGCATCGGACAGTCGAACCAGTGCCATTGCTCCTGGGTGCGGAAGACGATCGTTCTCTCGCGGGGCCGGATGACATAGATCTTGCAGTCGCCGAGACAGGTCACATACAGCAGCGGGTTCGTGTTCCCGGCATGGTCGCGCGTGCAATGCAGCAGGGCGGTGACGGAGGTGGTCGTGCCCAGCCATTGGCCCGGGGAGCTGGTCGCCTGGATGGTTTCCTCGTACGCCCGTTGCAGGTAGCTGATGGGGTCGAGTTGCGTACTCGTGTTGGAGACGCGCTCAACCTCCAGCGCCCAGAAGTGAAGGAGTAGTCTGGCCCAGAGGCTGTATAGAGGCGATCAAGCAAGAGAGAACATGGTCAGCAATGAGCATGGATGGAACAGGAAGACAAAAAAGCTCCTCCCTAAACCCTTCATGTAGGTAGTCTACAGGGTCCATGGGGGAATTGGGGGTGGGATTGACCGATTTAGGGAACAAGGTTCGGTGATAACCAAAAAAAAAAACAAAAAACAAATAAAAACACCTACGCTGCATGGCCCTGGGGCTTGGTTGCCCACGCTCCTACCCCATCATTAACAGCCAGATAATTGTCGGCGACTAGAACGGCATCGTCCCCATTGCTCAGGCCCCGGACTAGATCACCCCGAACGGATAATCTCTTATCCTGACTTAGGTAGTGGGTGGTCAGGGGGTCGGAAAAGGAAGAGGACGGGGGAGAGAGGAACGGTGGGGGGAACGGCCGCGGCGCGCGTTTGGCGCAAAGGGCATAGCCCGTCTGGAAGCAATACGGAGATTGCGAGATGGGGAAATGTGGGTTAAGATCTGGAACCGGCGTGGTGATGCCGTAGGATGGCCAAACGGCTCGATATCGCCGCACCGGCGCTGCGGATGTTGGGGAGACCCTGGACTTGGAGTGCGCGCTCCACAGTGGGCTGCGTTTAAAAGCAGACGAGGGCGATGAGGGGATGATGAGGGAAGAAGAGGAGGAAGAGGAGCACACAATCGAGCTAGCAAGCGACTTGGGCACCATGCCCGCTAATTAGAAGGAGACTTTGATTGAATTACTGTCGTCTCTCTACAACTAGAGAAGACCGACAGAGGAAAATTTTTTATTTTTGTTTCTTCTTTCCAGTCAGTCTGAAAGGAGACACCGCAGGGCAGGGTCGGGGCGGTTCCAGAATTTCCGAGTTTCCCACTTCACTTACTCACCCTTGATCAGAGTCACAGTCAGTCAATAATAATAATTCACGTCAGTCAATCCGCCGCTTGACTCAGCCGCCCCACCACCTGACTACTGGCTGCCTGAACCCTCAGGCATGAATGATCTACTTGATACTTGGTACTTGGTACGTGGTCGATCGGGATCATCCAATATCACCACTGGTCTGGATATGTATCTGAACTGAGCACATAACATTATTTCCCCATGTCTGCTTTGCATCGTCCCTGTTATGCACATGGGCTGCTCTTCCTTGGCTCATTAAATCATCACGTCATAAATCATCAATCGTGATCGTGCAGAATGCACAAAACAAAAACAAGAGGGAAGAAACAGCCTCTCGGAACCGAACACTTGCTCAGGTCAGGTTCTTCGGCAGCCATTGGCCGCCCGCATCTTGTCAATCTCGTTTGCGATAGTGGTTAGCGCACCTTTCATCTCAACTGCGAGATAACAGAGATCTTTATCGTCCCGAATGGTCGATACTGCCTCGAAGATGCTCCTGGCAAGCATGTTACACCGAGAACCGAGCTTCAATTCGGGGAAGTTCCGGCGACTCTCCAGCATCATGATGGTCAGGTTCCATACGGCACAAGGACAAACACGCTCGGGGTTCATGGTACAAGCCATCGCACAGCTGCAGGGTGATCTACAGGTACATCTTTTCTCGCGAGCATAATTGATCAGATCACGTCGCCCATCCGTACGTCGAATCTCACCGATGACTCTGCTTTCCAGTATGGCCAGTACTGCCTGACGGTGCCCGAGGATAGTCTCACGTTCCCACGCCGCTGGATCTACTGATTTCTCTTCCACGAAACGCAGGCGTAATTGCGGGACCTTGGTGCGAATTGCGTCCCGGGGCGCGAATGATAGGTACTTCTCTGACCCGACGATGAGAACTTCCCTAGGAGGCATCTGATATGTAAGGCCCGGGCCGTCCCATTTCTGGCGGAACTCCGATGTTGGATTTGACAGCAAAGACAAGGTGGACCGACGGTATCCGACGAGATCGTCCAGCGAGAACCCAGTAGCCGCCAGCATATTCACCGCTCGACGGACAAGCCCAGCTTGGTGTTGGCGCAAGATGTCCTTGCTGAAAGCAAGGCACACGGATGGACTATCCAGGGATTCTTTACAGACCAGAAACATATTCATGGTGCTATGCTGCTCGGGAAGCATGAAATCGTCTTTAGTTGTGATGCGGGGGATCCCAAGTTGAAAGTAAGAGCATAGCTCGGCGTTCGCGATTTCCATGATCAGCTTGGCGTATAGGGAGTAATACAGAGTCTCCACAGCTCTGACCAGATCTTTAATACTGTTAGATGTCGCGAGTTCCTCTGCCTTCCGAACATGTGCTAATAGGCCTTCATGATCGTCCAACTGCCACCGAAACCGCATGTATTAGCCATGTTCAACCACCAAAGCAATTGAGAAGTCAGAGTGTCCTTCACGCACGTCAACGTTGTAGAAGTAGAACACTACGACGACAAATTTGGCAATGGCGTAGACCTTCTTGTACACCTTCATCACACTTTCGATCCAGTCTGTAAGATCCTCATTACCAGATGGATCCATGTATCTGACCAAGCCGTTGACAAGGCTCCAGTCAGGAGAGCCGATTGCGTAGGGAAGCGCAGGACGCTCGATCGGAACCATTTGCTGCGAGCCTCGGTCAACCCACAGGCTCAAGGCGGGGATACTTAAAGAGAACGAGGACGCGTAATCACCTCGATATAACTTACAGCTGATGCGTAGGATACCGCAGTACTGCCCGACGAGCGCAGACCCATCTCTTCCGCCAGTCTTTTGTAGCTTTCCTCCCCGCTTGTCTTCAGCAAATCCTGGGAGTACTTGTAGAAGCCATCCTGCAGGTCCCCGAACAGCGTCGAGTCAACGGATTCCTGATAGGTATGACAGTGAGGATCGAGTTTCAGGAAGTGAGATTCGTCCTCATCACCACGCGGGAAGAGTCTGCGCCTGGTTGATGCCCATAATTGCGAAGCTACTCTGTGGGCACCCTTCATTTGAAGAGATAAGAGATCGATGTAACTTGATGACCACTTGAGTGGGCGGTATGAAAGGGACATGAAATGGTGGATGGACGCGATAGGGTGACTGAGAAACAGTGTGAGCGATGAGGATAGAAATCGAAAGTCAGTTGAAAGAGGCCCGGACCTGCTGTCACAGTACAGGGATGGAGGTAAGGCGAAGTGAAATCGATCATACAGGGATGAAAGTGGCAGAAGCTAGCTATGTACCAGACGTTGTGTTGGCATCGCGTGTGAGCGATGGGACAGAGAAGGTACAGGCGGGAGAGCTCAGGTGTGCCTGCTACTTCGTCACACTTGGACCACCACTAAACTATATGCACAAGTGCCAGTAGTCGATCGATCAAGTGCCTACAGCTTTTTTTGCTTTAGCTGAAGATGTAAGGTGAGAGCTCGAACATTAGTGAGAGTATTCTAACACAGAACGTAAACTTGCTAGCCTCCTATGCCCACAACAAGCTGCCCACAACAAGCAAGAGATACAAGGGCATCTCGTCACCCACGCGCTGCGCCAGTACAGTTTGACAAAGACAAAGAATAGTGTCATCTATGAACGTAGTGGATCAACTTCGATGAGGGCCTTGTCCCCATTCGACGTGTATGGTAAAATAACTTCTGGGATTCTCCATAAAGTATCATTTGCTCGCTTGATGAAGGCGGGCGGCAGATTTCCACTTTCGCTAAATGAGAGAGACTTCATGTAGTATAGAAAAATAATCAGCCTGCGTCCCATGGAAGACCACTCAAGGAGCCCAGGGTCCAATGATATATATGCTTACCTTTAAGCTGTTCAAACCTCTCACCCACTCAAGCCCCAAGTCACAAGCCTCGTCGGGTAGGTAAGGATAGTTCTCAACATGATAGAGGAGTATATCATGGCAATTTTCCAGCCAGAGTACTTCCAACTTCGCTCCAGGGGCTGGACTGTCATCGTCCATGTTTGAGTCGTCGAGTTCTCCCTCGATGCCACCCAGCCAATCCAGGAACTCAGGCTGAACTCCACGGCACGTCCTCAACTTGAGCACTTTAAGATTCGGGTTTCTTTTAACCAACTTCATTAACTGCCAGGGAGTGATACCAGCTCGCTCCATGACTAGACTCTGCAATCCACGGGGCCCAGAATGCGTGGGCTGCCCGATTCCGATCAGACAGTTCCACGCAGTACTCCCCGGTGCGGGACTCAGCCAGGCACTTGGTCGCATGGAGCCATCACGAATATGTGGATGTTCAAACCGCAGCGCAAGGTGGTTGAGAACATGTCGGCTATTAACAGTCAGAGCCGTCGCGCCCGTGACGTCGAGATCATATGCCATGAACTCGAGTTTCCGGAGCCCTCTCCCGTAACGATTGACCACCTGCGCCAAGATTCTGTTTTGTTCATGGACTGTATGCTCATGGGTCCGGGATGTCTCTTGCGTCAGATGTACTCGTCTTTTGAGGTCCATGGCTATCGCCGGGGGCTTGTGGACCAACGGTGAAGTCCCATAATTTGCCGCTGACTGAACGATTGATATTCTATGGCTGTCGCCCCCAACGTTATCAGCTAAGCCCTCCAGCATCTGTTCGGGTGTCAACCATCCAGCTCGTAGTAGGGAGATAGCTGAATGAGAGCGCTTTTCAAAGACACCTAACCGTAGACCACTGAGGCACAGAGTATGCGACTCAAAGTTGCTGCGGCATGTCTCTCCAAAGGCTAGCAATGATTTCAAAGGTAGGTAAGAGAGGATGTGAAGGATAATCTCCAACGGTAAAGAGCTTATTTTATCAGGCATCATGGGGTTATTCCGGATGTCTCAGCGTGCCGTGGAAATGGTTTCAGAAGCGCAATGGTGTCTGTTAATTAGTTTATAGCGATGGTCCCTGACACGCCTCGTTTGCATTCTAACATTCGCCTTCCGGCATGACTGGGATCTTATGTGATCAAGACAGCTAAGATCAGCTGAGTCTCTTGCCGGAGCCGAGAATGGCGCGGTATACCTGTCGAATCGTAGCTGAATTATTGGCGTCGCAATTTTGTATATCCCCGCATCAGCTCCGGTTCGAAACAACAAGGGACGTGGAGGGGCGTCTGTTTGATATAAAGGATGATCGGAGCTATTATATCACTATTTGCAGGGTGTGAGATAAAAAAAAACGCAAGACGAAAAAGGGGACGAGAGAGGACGCAAGGATGGGACACTCACGAGGAGTGAGGATGTCCCATAAATCACAGGGCAGGGAAATCATTCCATGCAGGTGGAGACTTTTTCTGGCTGCACCATCTAGATCCAGTGGCCTCATCGCATCCTCATTGGGACAATGCATATTGAGCTTATGGAAAGGCTCAGCCCTTGGCATGAACCGGTCCGGAACAATTGAAGCGATGGAGGTGTTTTGTGGAGGCTAGTCTAAAGGACGACTTCTTTAGTCGCGGTGGGTGACCCAGAGAAAACCAACAGCAACGGCGAGTCAGTCGCCATGGACACTAAAAGTCGAGGCTAACTGCAGTCAAGCCTAGGATAGGTTGCCTATTCAATTTAGTAGCGAAACAAGGTGGAATGGGGCTTTCATATTCATTCTAAGGGGACCAATCTCGAATTTCCCGTTGCCAGTTTGTTTTTTCTTTCTTTCTTTTTCTGATCCTTGCAGACTGGCTGCTGGGTTTATTCGCTGGCCAGACAAAGCCGCGAGGTACGGGGAAATCCATTTAAATGGACAACGCGATCGGGTAGCACGACTGCATGCTGAGCATGGCTCTCCATAGCGGGCAATCTGAGTGTGACACCTGAGCCTCACGACCTGCATGAATCACTATCAGCAGTAACCCTATCTTCCTAGGTCCCAGTACACAGTGCGCACCTAAGAACGCCAATGCAGCCGGTACCCGGAAGGTCCGGATTACCATAGAGGGTGGTGTTATTGCGGTGATGCCGTAAGGATGCAGCGCCAGATGCAGTGGGCTAAGATAGCAACACTGCCCCAGGTTTTCTAGAGCCTACCTAGAGGGCATCGCACGTACTGTGGTTACTCGTAGATCTGCCGCGAGCAGTTGCGGGCCCCTCCCTCCTCGGGTGCGAGCATTGACTTCAAGGTTGGTTCCATTTATCCCCACACATAACCGAGATCCTTCAATAGCAGGGTGTGGTGAAAGGTTGGTTCAATAAGAACTTGGAAGCTTGTCCTGCGATCCCGTTTGAGCCGTACATAGCGAGCTCATAAGATGGATGTCTGCGAGGGCAATAAAGGAGACATTCCTGGTAAAGCTGGCACTCGATGTGACAGGCAAGCGCGACCCAATTCTAGATTCGAGGGATTGACCGTGGCCCGTAAGACATTGCGAATGGAGGGACTAGTCTCATAAGCCCAGCCGTAGTTTAACGATGCAACGCCGCAACAATAGCGCAGTTGTGCTCTTTTTACGCGCTTGCTGGTAAATTCGGGCTGCTTGGGGCGGGAAGCGGTTGGAAGGTCGAGGTTACAATACTTCTTCCCGCCCTTGACTCGGGTCGTTTCGGCCGATTTGTTAGTTGCTGGTCGCATATTTTCAGGAGGAGAAAATAAAGGACCTGGAGTAATTGTCTGAATGGATCATATCGCAGAGATGAGTAAGAATGGCCAAATGAGGCAAATACGATACTATTCGTTCTAGACCTCTCAACATTGGTCGAGCCCAGTGAGGGGAACATGTCCCTTAGCACTGCAGGTGACAGGTAGTTATTTATTCATTCTGGCATTATTGCTGTCCGCACTTCCCCACCGCCCCCCTGCGTGTCACGGCCCATCACGCACACTCAGAAGCAAGGATACTCTGCACTGTTGCTGATCGATATCCAAATGAGACTACTCCGTATTTCCAGGCCCATGCGCCTGTCAACAGTAGAGCTCAAACAAAGACAAACAAAGGCAAGGAAGAGAAAGAAAATGAGCATGTGATACGAGTAAAGCTATACAATCGAGAAGCAAACAATTTCGGCCTATGCATGCGTGCACTCTCTCCAGCACTACCCCTCCGCCGAATCGCAATATTCTATACAGAGAAAACAAGAAGCCCGCTATCCTACCCCTGGACCCTGAAAGTACGGCCACTGGCTGTCTTCCTCTCCCGCTCTTCGTTCTCGGGTCTCGCCCGGTTGAGTACTGCCAGGATTTAGTGACATGAACCCAGTCGACACCCGACCGACATCGAGGCTTACCTTGGAGGAAATCTGCGGTCCTCTTGCGCATCCGAGTGTGGATGTATGCCTTTATGAGGTGTTAGCGACTGATGTAATGGACCGAAAACAAGAGCAGGAGATACCTTGGAGGCTTTGATGTGGTAGTGGAAGTAGTCACGGAAGATCTGGATGTGGGAAATGTTTTCATAGCGTCTTTGAGGTGTCAAATGGCGAGGGAAAAGAACTATGCTCAATCAGTGGATGTTGCAAGACAAAGACAAAGGAATGTAGGGTGCGCAACTTACCAAATGTGACATAGCTCAGTGTGCCGTCGTTGACGTTCTGCAGACCGGGCACTCCAGCCAACTCGAGAGGTGGATCATTGCGGAAAAGCACTTGAGGAGCGTTCTGCAGCGTTAACACACGACGTCTGGCGTCAACAAACTCCTGCAAAAAGACTTTGCCGAAGATGCGATCCGTTTCCTCCCGGAAGACGGTGCTGAAGATAACTGTGACTCGATCATGGCTGGCCTTGATGTAAATCGCCTCCTCTTCACGGTAATGAATAGCCATCACTTCTCCTCCTTCCTTGACACCCTGAGGAGCCGATTCTGTGGTGTATCTCGAAGCCTCCTCCGAAAGCTTTGCGAATTCGTCGAATGCTCTTTCGAAAGGGGCGGCCATCGCGTTCCGCTTCATCAACGCCAATCGCGTGATGAGGTCATCCTTTGCTTCCTGCTCAGCGGGGAGGTTCTCCAAGTCAATCAAGACGGAGAAGTCGTAGCCAGGCTCCGGGTCGACGATATAGGGGCCATACTCCCTTTCCAGCACTTGTTGGGCACCATATTGAACGAGCTCTCGGAAGCACTTGACTTGGATGGAGATGAGTATTTTGGTCTTGGATTCAGGAGTAGACAGATGGAAGGTGACGCCGTCGAAGTCGGAGACAATCTGGTCAATTGAAACTGGGGTGGATCTGTAGCGAGCATCAGGCGACCTGTTAGCTGGGAGCCTGGTGTATGTCGGAGGGGGCGGGGGAAATGGGGGGTGTACCCAGAGAACCGCTCCGTCAACAGGGAGTGGATAAGCACGTTGTGGTAGTCTAGCAAAAGCATGGTGGCAAGCACACTCAGATTAAGCTGATATGGATCGAAAAGCGCCCACTGTTTTCTCCCTGGATGGCCTTGGGTGATCTGGACTTATCAACAGTGGTTCACTGCCACGAGGGGGTAGTTACGTTGATGCTCGGGGAACGGCAGGCGGTGGGGAGGCTCCGAGTGGTCGCTGTCGCTCTCCGTAGTTGCGGCCGCCATTTGCGCCTATCGATAGCATTCATTCTCCGAGCTCCAAAATTTTTCCAGAGGCACGCACCCAACGATGGTGAAGTCATATTTGTGAGTCTCACGCTCTCCGACTATGCCATATTCATAGAGCATTATCTGACTACTGAACTGGACAGAAAGTTCGAGCATTCGAAGACTTTCGGGCTCATCGCATCCGGTTCGTCCAATGCGATCTGGGCCCGCGATGAGGATAGCCTGGGTACTGCGCGTCGGACTGGCTCCGGGAGAGCCATCGTGGGCGCAAGTGAAGAAGTCCTTTGTTGGGATGTCAAGAAGGGAGAGCTGCTAGGCAGATGGCGAGACTCGGCCTGTAAAGCACAGGTTACAGTGATCACGCATAGCAAGACGGACGAGGATATTTTTGCGGTGGGGTAAGTCTTGATCATGACCCCTTGGATGACCCCTATTTGATTACTTGTACTTACTTTGTACGCCTCAGTTATGAAGATGGAAGCATCCGCCTCTGGGATTCGCGAACCGAATCCGTCATCATCTCTTTCAATGGCCACAAGTCCGCCATTACCCAACTCGCCTTCGATAATGCCGGAGTTCGTCTGGCAAGTGGTTCGAAAGACACGGACATTATCCTGTGGGATTTGATTGCAGAAGTCGGACTTTTCAAGATGCGTGGACATACCGACCAGATCACCTCATTGAACTTCCTCACACCATCCACCGAATTGCTCAACGCTGCCGGCCTCAGCGATCATGCGGGATTTTTGCTGTCGACGGGAAAGGATGCGCTCATCAAAGTCTGGGATTTGGCTTCGCAGCACTGTATTGAGACCCATGTGGCTCAATCGAATGGTGAATGCTGGAGTTTGGGGCTTTCCCCCGACGAGAGTGGTTGCATCACCGCCGGCAATGACGGAGAGCTCAAGGTTTGGTCTATTGATGAGAGCGCTATGATCGAAATCTCCAAGGAGAAAGTCGGATCTGAAGGTCAGAGGATTCTGACGGACAGAGGAACTCTCTACCGCAACGGCAAAGATCGCACGATCGGAATCAGCTTTCACCCCCGGTCGGACTACATTGGCATTCACGGTTCGGAGAAGGCGGTCGAGATTTGGCGGATCCGCTCACAGGTCGAAGTGCAGAAGAGCTTGGCAAGGAAGCGCAAGAGAAGAAAGGAGAAGGATGCGCAGCGTGCTGCAGACAAGGAAGGAGCCGTCGCCGAGACCGACAATAAGACGCCGGACGACGACGCCGCGTCTGCACCAGTTTCTGAAGTCTTCGTACCCCATACGATAGTTCGGACCGGGGGCAAGGTTCGGTCCTTCGACTGGATCAGGACTAAACCTAGCGGCAACCTGCACCTGTTGGCCGCTACCACGAACAATCAGATCGAGGCCTATAGCGTCGTGACCGCCAACAAGAAGAACAAAGACGAGGACGAGCCGGAGTACACTCGGAACCTGGCAGTCGATATCCCCGGTCACCGCACCGATATCAGATCTGTCGCATTGAGCTCTGATGATCGAATGCTGGCTTCTGCCTCGAACGGCAGCCTTAAGATTTGGAACGTCCGTACCCAGAGCTGTCTGCGTACTCTTGAATGTGGATATGCTCTCTGCTCGGCCTTCCTGCCCGGAGACAAGATTGTTGTTGTCGGAAATAAAGACGGTCAGCTTGAGGTCTTCGATATCGCCTCCTCGACTCTTCTCGATACGATAAAGGCCCACGACGGACCGGTATGGTCCCTGCAGGTTCACCCGGATGGCAAGTCCCTAGTCAGTGGTAGTGCCGATAAGTCTGCCAAATTCTGGAGCTTCCAGGTTGTTCAGGAAGAGATCCCTGGAACTAAGAGAACTACGCCGCGACTCAAGCTGGTGCACACAAGGACTCTGAAGGTCTCTGATGACATCCTCAACGTCCGCTTCTCCCCTGATGCCCGGCTGCTTGCTGTGGCTCTGTTGGACAATACCGTCAAGGTGTTCTTCGTCGATTCGCTTAAATTGTTCCTCAACCTCTACGGCCATAAACTCCCGGTCCTTAGCATGGACATCTCGTGGGACAGCAAGTTGATTGTTACATGCTCAGCTGATAAGACAGCACGCGTCTGGGGTCTGGATTTCGGTGATTGTCACAAGTCATTCTTGGCACACGAAGACAGTGTTATGGCCGTTGCTTTCGTTCCGAACAACAAAGAAGGGAATGGCCACAACTTCTTCAGTGCTAGCAAGGATCGTTCGATCAAGTACTGGGACGGTGACAAATTTGAACATATTCAAAAGCTGGCAGGGCACCACGGCGAGATCTGGGCGTTGGCCATCAGTCACTCTGGTGAGTTCATTGTCACTGCCAGTCATGACAAGAGCATCCGCACCTGGGAGCAGACCGACGAGCAACTGTTCCTGGAAGAAGAGCGGGAGAAAGAGCTCGAAGAGATGTACGACAATTCCCTCACGGCCTCCCTCGAGCAGGAGGAGGACGGAGAAGACGGAGAGAAGGCCGAAGCCGTCGATGCTGGCAAGCAGACGTCTGCCACGCTCATGGCTGGAGAGAAGATCATCGAAGCCCTGGATCTGGGAATGGAGGATCTGGAGGTCGTGCGCGAATGGCGTGCTATCAAGGCGAGGCAGCCCAACGCGGCTCCTCCGAAGCGCAATCCCTTGTACATGGCATTGGGGGACGTTTCTGCCGAAAGGCACCTGCTGAACGTTGTCCAGAAGATCCCCGCTGCTGCTCTTCAGGACGCTTTGCTGGTTCTGCCCTTCTCGAAGATTCCGGCTTTGTTCACGTTCCTGAACATCTGGGCCGGTCGTGAATGGAATATTCCTCTCACCTGCCGTGTCCTCTTTTTCATTCTCAAGACGCACCATCGCCAGATTGTCGCGAGCAAGATGATGCGGCCGATGCTCGACGGCATCCGCGCCAGTCTGCGTCGGGTGCTGGCTCGTCAGAAGGACGAGATGGGTTTCAACATGTCCGCGCTGCAGTTCGTTGGGCAGCAGATCAAAGAGTCGAGCACGAGGGACTACATTGACGAGGCCGCCTACGAGGAAACGGAGGGCATGGCAGGTACGGGCAAGAAGCGGCAGTTCGTCAGCATTGCTTGAACACGTTCTGTTCAGGTTGATTTGTTTTTACTATCTGTATACGTGCATGTGTTTGGCGTTTCAGACTTGTTGATGGGTCCTCTTTTTCTTGGTTACGCATGAAAAGTTCTATATCCGGAAGGTTATGATAGGTTCAACTTAGACTACCCATGTAAATTTGACATAAAACAATTCAAGCAAGATTCATGGATAGAAACCCAGTGCAAACATATTGTCTTCATTTTCTGTCTATATCTAACTATCGTAGCCCCCAGGACTCTACAGCCCAGCAAAGTTTGAAAAATCGAAGAACCTATTCTATGTAGTTGGTCAGCAATGCTACAGACACAACAATCACACACGCATCAAGCGTATAGTCATCAAGTCAGACTAGCAGGAGATGCGCACAGCCCCAACACTCAAGACCAAAGCAAGAAACCCGAGAAACGAGGAATATCCTCGAAATCAGGCTCCGCCCACACAACCTGGCCGACAAGGGGAAACAGAAAACCGCAAAAACAACCACTCAGCAGAACCATTATAAGCATCGACGACAGTGAAACAACGTTGGCTTCCTGTCATTCCTCTTCCGGCTCTTCCTAATATACCGGTTCTTGATTGCAAAGCTCTCATCATCTAGGTTGTTTTGTGGCCTTGCTGTCTCCTCCGTCGTGTTTTGTGTGGTGGGCAGATTTGCTTGGTTTTGATGCTGCGGTGTGCGAGATGTAGAAGGGGATTGGAGGGGTGGGTATGCCATACCTGATTAGTTGAACTAGTTTGTGTAGGATGGTGTGTGAGAATGTGACCAAAGCATAAATGGTCAGAAGCTGGAGCTGGAGAGCTGCAGCTGCAGCTTTTGTGGTTGCATGGGGGGAGAGGAAAAAGGAAGTGGGAAAATTATTGATGAAGAAATTATTCGCTGGGTTGGCTCGGCGGAATGGTTGGGCCGAAAGTGGGGAGGAGGAAGATCGCTTAATCAGTTATTAGTCAGCTGGACGGTGGATCTACCGATTTCAGTAACACGTCGACTAGATATATGAACTTGCATGTGTTTAATTCAAGGCTTGATTTATAGAACTATTATGTGGGTCGTCAGGTTGGGAGCCATGCATGCTTTGAGGGAGAGTAGCTCTGCTCAGTCAAGAGGTGATCACTTACGAGCAACATCCTCATGGAATGGATCTTCCCTTCGAAATTCGTAGGGAATGTATAGGAGTTGAAATTACCTTCCTTGAGCCTCGATGAAAAAAAAATTGCTAGCCATGGTATCTCTCTCTAAAGAAACAATGTCACACCAACGCCTATGCTAAGTGAACTCCGAAGCCATCGCTAGAATTAAGACTCCTGCTTTGCTGTTCCGCAGTTGGAGCAGAGCGCCCATTCAATTTCCATAAATGAGCCACAAGCCCAACACGTCCGGCCCAGTCGCCGCTTGTTCGCCTGTTCTGACTTCATGGACAAGGGTGTTTTCACACGGCCCTTGTTCTTGGAAGTACCTTGCGAAGGGGGCGACTGGGACTGGCCGATTGGCCGTTTCTTACTCTTGCTCTTGTCTGTTGAAACGGCCGGACTTGTTAAGATAGGCTCGGATAGGGATCGGTTCGTCGAAGGCCGCGGCCGCTCCGAGGCGCAGGCATCACAGCAAAGAAACTCAGCAGGATTCTCGAGCGTGCAGATTGGACACGACCACGGTCGATTGTACGACCCATCATTTGATATCAGATCCTCTGGGTTCTGCGGATGCGGCGGCGCGCCCAGCCTGCTGCTACCTGGGATCGGAGGCGGAGATAGTGTAGAACGAGGACCGGCAGGGTTCTCCTGACTTGGAGGGATATACGAAGGTCCATATTTCTCGCGCTCCTCCTGCTCGATGAGATCAATGACAGCCTCCATGATCGCTCGCTCATTCGCATCGTCCTCTTCTGCCTTGGTTCGGAAGCCGTTCCTGGACGCCTCCTCTGCCAGCTCGGCGCTATTGTCGGCGCCCGAGGCACAGCCATTCATCACTTCGCGCCGTCGCTGTGCGGCAGCTGCAATGACTTGGCGCATGTCTGTACCACGTGCTACGGATGCGCCGCCGACTCGCTGTCCCGACCCGGCGGAGAGAGATCGTCTTTGCTCGGCGGCGGCTCGGGCCCGTCGACGGGCTTCTTCCACGGGCATTCGACGGCCTCCCAAGCGATGACCCTTGGAGAGGAAGCCTTCGCCTGTATAGCCCTTTAAAGTAAGCTCCAGGTGCTCGTCTCGAAGCTGGTTCCATAGAGCATGGAATTGCTGGTTATGTGGTCCATGCACAATATGACACAGTCTGCAATGAAGGTTAGCCATTAGACTCTGAGAAAGGCATGTGGGGGTTAAAGAGGCATAAACTTACTCATGAAGCATAGTATCTACAATTGAATCCATTGATAGAAACTGACGGTCGTCCCCAGCATGGCGGAGCCGTAAGCAGATCTTTTGGCCATGGTTGTAATTGAGCCCAAGGAGATTTCGTTCCCGCGGATTCAACTCGGCCAGTATCCCAACCTTCCAATGCCGTCGGCGCATGATAGGCTTGACTATGGAAGCTACCTTCTGAAGCATGAGGAGTGCTTCGTCAGCTCGGGGTCGTTTCTTGTCATGGCGGTATTCAGAGATGAGCGGATCTAGTTCGCGCATGGTGGCAAATGTGCTGGACGGTCAGGTAGATGAAATGTATCCACGCTGTAGTGCTAAGTTGAGAGGATTCTTGAGCGAAAGCAGTTGACCGAGTGAAGCGATGTGATGAGAATCCTAGAACGGTATGAAGTATTTATGCTAGAAGCCTATCGCAGGCGCAAGCTACTACTTCCGCCACCCAAGAGGAAAATCACATTTAAGAACTGATCACCAAAAGAGAGGCCCCAAACCTGCCAGGAAATAAAGACACAAGGACGTCCAGAGGCAAATGAAGGGACAGAAAGAAATTCCCCGGCCATAAATCAAATTAAAGAAAGATCGTGGATACTGAAGTTAGGAGGCAGAAAGAAAGGTGGGCAAACAATGCATGGATGGAAGGGATTGTTAATCGCTGCACTACCTCAGGCACCCAGGCTCTATGAATGTCACGTGTGCCCGCTACATCACTATAGATTTTAACCCTCTTGATCTGTGGCAAGCTCGTTGGACGATACTACGAGTGATAGATAACACTTACAGATAGCAGAAAGATAGCCTTTGTACATATAACATAGAAGAAAGGATGTCTAATCACAAAGCTTGTGCTTGAATATAATTCTCTGTACTCTTCTCGAACACGACGAAGATCTTGACATACAACCCTAAAGCAAATCCTCATCAGAGACAATTCTGAAGCCTGACATGTAGACAGATTTCATGAGTGAAGGCCATGGCAACTGAGCCAGATCCTCAGTACTTGTGTTACTTCCCCGGCACTTTGTCTTCCAACCCTTGTTGAATGTATCGCTATGGTCGAACTAGTAAGTAACATTCACATTAAACTCCTACCTACTTGCTTTCTCTCCTCTTATCCTGATCGACCCGCTGATTCCATCTCCCCTACCCCAAGTCATCTTTGACCAAGCTACAAGTTATCACTTAACTCAGCCCATTTCCTCCAACACACCCTTCCTACTCAATCACGACTCCACCGCATCTCCAAACCAGACAATCGCCAGTTGGGCCAACCACCAAAATGCGTTGGACCGACGAGAACGAACAGCTTGTACAGTCTTTCCACCCCCATCGCTTTTTCCCTTGCAGTTCTGGTGTAGTTATACTAAATACCGACTCCTTCTTCTCCTCAGCTCTGGAAGCTCATCTTCGAAACCCAAACCATCACACTCGACCTCGACAAGGTCTCTCAGGCATGGCGTAAGTCGATCTCATCGCAGAACCCTCTGGATCTGCAACAGGGAATGTCCGTTACAGCATGATCGCGGTAGCTAACTGATCTGAATCCACAGCCGGAGATGACAAGCCCACCCCTAAGGCGATCGAAAGACACTTGGACAAATACCGCAAGAGCGGAAGTGGGGTCAGCTTCCAGAAAGGCCAGCAGAAGCGAGCCGACACCGAAGCCGGGCCGGCGACTCCTCACAAGAAACGCAAGAAGACGGCCAAGATCGCCAAAGCTGGCAAGGACAAGGAGGAGGATAAGGAGCCTGCTGCTGCTGCTGCGGGCGAGGAAGAGTGAAGCTCAGCACGAACAAGATGGGAGGACATTTCAGCGAGTTGCGAAGGTGACGAGGCTTACAAAGGATGGTGATGGGGATCAGAAATGAGAATAATCTGGACGGCGTTTAGAGAGCGCAGTATTGAGATTTTCAGAGCCAAGGGTTATCTGCTTGACTACTTTGGATTATTACGATAGTCATTGAACAGGTCTGTAACAAACATGCACCGTATTGTCAGGAAATGCATGCTTTGCAAGTTGAATGATCTCCATATTATCCTTTTCTGCTATGACTGAGCAGTAATATATCATGTTCATTGCGGTAGTCTTTGTTCTGTTGATGGAAAATATGTGCCCCTGCCTCGTAGCAGTCCTCCTGGGCAATTCTCATCTTTCCTCTATGCGCCAGGAACTGCTTTCGTAACTCCTTGACATGCCGCACTGCGGGAATTGAACCTACAGATTGGTCTATATTATTGAATCTGCTTAATCACACTTACAGTAAAGATATGATAGATTTCAATAGTAGAAACTACACTGTCACTAAACCCCCAGATGGGACAGGCGATGTCCGCCACTGCCCATCAGCATGAATGGTGCCCAATAAAAAGGACTCGACCAGTCCAGTTGATCCAGAATCATCTTCGACATCTGAAGCAGCCACTCTGCATCTGGCACGAACTCATCAGGACGAGGACCCGCATTGTTAGTCGTTTCTGAGGTCCATGATTCCAGCAAGTTATCCACAAATTGGCTTGCCTTTCCACTGTCAAACTGAAGAAGCTCATTTTGTGCATCCCTCAATGCCTCTGCCAATGAAAACTGCTTCTTTTCTTTGAGGTTCCGATAGAAGATTGTCATCATCAGCATGGATGCAAAGTCGCTGACTTCCCACAGTGTGCCCATGAAGGCTTGACATCCAGTGCCAAGCACGACGTGAGAAAAGGCCAAAACCTCACTGCCAATGGTTGCTTTTCCGAGCCCACTCAAACATGCCGCGAAGACTATGAGATCTGCCTTGCTTTGGATGTCGGACAGATCAAGAACCCGAAAGTCCTCTCCGATCGAGATCGACGACATAAGAGGATTCTTGAAGTCCACATTGCCGTGGGTTCCGATGTGTAGGACGGACGATATACCCCTGATATACTCGCGAAAGCTCTTTCGTGAGAGACGCGACGCTTCGATCGGCCAGGTGGAGAATATCCGGGCGATGTTGACTGCCTCGATACCTGCCATGTGCAGATCATCCTCATTTCCGGCTCTTGTCTCTGCGGCCGAAGATTCGACAGGCGACTTCGCAAACACCGTTACTGTGGGTTCCGGTAGTCGCGACGCCGACTGCCGCTGAGAGACATAGTACAAGACTGTCAGACTGGGGATTTGTGATACCGATGCATGTACAATCAATGGTTCGCCGTCGAAGAGAAGGGCAGAGAAAGGAAATGCTGTAAAAGGCTCGGACACGGAAAAGACGACATGCGACTTCAGTCTGATCGTGCCTGCAAACGGCGTCAACAATACTGAGGATATCTCTGCGGACAACTCTTTGAGAACCCGTTTGCGGGTGTCTTCCTCCTCCCCTCGATACCCGGTCATTTCTTTGAGAACCTGCATGAACCGCATGGCAGGCATCTGCATGTCGACAGAGCGCGCAGCTCCGTAGTGAACTCTCTGAATTCCGTTCCTGGTAATCGCAAATGCCACAAAGCCTTGAACCCCAAAGGTGGCCTCTATCACTACTGTATCCTCGTCAATATTCTGATAAAGTAACTGGGGCTCAACTGTGGAGCTTGCTGCAGCAATGAACCCAGTAGTTGCTGAAGATTTCCCACTGTCTTCCAATTCATCAATCTCTCTCTGAAGCTGGGAGAGTTCTTTCTCCTGCTGGGGGCAGAGGTGGTCTAGAGCGAGTAGCACTCTGAGCGCTCGTTGCTTATATATGGCCTCCGAAAGTAAAGACATTCTTTTGTCAGATTTTTCTTCGTCACCTGATCCAACTTGTAATGAGTCAAGCACAGCACGAGCTCTGCTTTCTTCTAAGAAAAGCAATGCATGTTCTAGCCAGGAGATATTCCCAGAATGTCCATGCTTATACTGAGTCAACACGGCCAGCGGAACACCGACCTCCTGGCAGCGAAGACAGGCGCGGGCTAGATCCAAAAATACTTCGTAAATCCACCTAGACATTGCATTTCCAATCCTGGCATCAACATCAGTAGTATAGGTACGGCGGAGCTCAATGAGCTGACGTGCCTCAAGTAATTGACGAAAGGCTTCTTGGGGGTAATGATTACTGAGCAAAATTGTGCCATAGTTCCCGAGTCTGTAAGAGTAATTGTAGATATTCTCAAAGGTCCACTTGAAGAAATCTGGAACAATCGTTGTGATCAGATTGACTACCCTGAATGCCCTGTCCAAGTCGTTTCCATGGATTGTAAACATGAGAGCATTCTCGGCAATAGCGGGGAAGGTGGTTTTGAGCGCCCTTCCCTGGAGATATTCTTCCAGGCTCCCTCCAAAGAGCATGTTATCACTGATGGTGTTCAGTATAGAACGGGCTTTGGCTCGGTCCCCGATGTGCGCACAAGCCAATATGCGGTACAGATCTCGTGTGTAAACCAGCTCCATCTGTTCAGCATCATTCACAAAGCGGCGAAGAGTCGATCTAGCCCTATCGATGTTTCCGTCCATGAGGTCTTCACGACTCTTAATATCAGCCGAAGCATACCTGAGTCTGATTGCATGATGAGCCATTGTTTCCTTCCACAACCCTTTTAGCCTAGTCTGGGAGTAGCCGAATTCGGGGAGTGATAAGCCAGAGCCATTTTTCTGCTCGATAGTTTCGATAAAATGTTGAAAGCTTTCATCTTGCTCAATAAAGCCCGAAAGCTTCCTCTGCCAATTGTCGAGGGCTTCAAAGTCCTCTAAGCGGAGGAATATGTGGCTTATATTGGTCTCAAACGTCCAAATCATATTGAACTTACTCGCAAGTACGGTCTTCCGGTCGGCCATTCCCAACGGCGAATCGGGCGCATCATTCAAGATTCTGTCGTACGTGTCGCTGACAGAATCTACCATAGCTAGCGCCTTGGGAGCCATTATCTTTACCGCTGTATCGTTGAACATATCGTGATGCGCCGCTGCCCGAGACATCAGAGTCTGAAATTTTGGAATCACATCATTGATAGCATCGAACACCTCGTATGCACACTCCCAGGCAGAAAGAGCAGTATCTAATCTGCCAAATCGATTCCACTCATGGTAAGCGAAGCGCATCATGAGAAGCCCGAGTCCATGTGCCATCAGTTCGTTTCTCGCTTCGACTCCCCACTGCCCAATGTCTTGCGCCATGGCTCTAGTCTTGCTTACCTCTCCTCTCGTTATACTGAGAAGAAGTCGGTGAGCATCAACTAATCGAGTATTGGCCTCATCTCTGGCGAAGAGAGCATGCGCTTGGCGCAACTTTTCCTCGGCCTTATCAAGTAAGCCAACGCTTTGTTTATTTGCGCCGCGGAGATGACGTTGTTCGTTGTGCAAGCAGCAAGCCTGGCGAAGCAGTGCTGCGGCCTGACCTCTCTTGCATCGCCCGCTCTGGAAGAGGCTCAATGCTGATGCGTAACAATCCCTCGCCTGTGACGTGTAGTCGAATTTGAGATCGAAATCAATGGGATCCCATAGGGTATCGCCCCCGACTGCTGAAGAAGATTCTACGAGCACCATACTGAGAGAGATTGGGCTTGCGAATGGAGGACTTAGGATATTGTCCCCTTCCATGAGCTTGCAGTTAGCCATTCCCACCTGGTCTCCTCGGCCTTCGTACACTTTATATAGGTCCGTCAAAGCAGCTGCCTGGTTTGGATGTTGACAGGCTATGTGTAAGTCAACTATTGCCCGTGACAGATAATCTGCAATGGTTGTTACTCCTCCAGATTCTGCCAGACCCCGGTAGTTGATCAAAAATTTGGCGCTCTCCGGAATGACTGTTTCCCAGTCCAAGGTATCAGAGCGCTTCGACGAAACACCCGGGAATAATGGATGATATGTAGACACCAAATTCCTTGTCTGCATCGGCAACCATTGCACCGCGCCTAGTATCTGACATAGAAACTGATCACGAGGATTCCCCAAAGGGAAGTGTTGCTGGAAATTCTCTGCAAACTTGGCCATCATAGCATTTGGTCCGATAATGTCGCTGAGGGTGTTCAGATTGATAGGTCTTCCTCTCTCGTGGAAGAAGCGAAGCGAGGGTGGATAGCGCCGATAGTGATCGCATAGTAGAGTGTAGTTGGTATAACGCAGACCCCATTCTGGAGATAGCTGGCCGAGAAGATTGTACAATATGTTCAAGCTTTCCTGGGCGTCTCGTGGCCTGCCTGTCAGAATCGAGTAAATGGACAAGCATCGCAGGTACTCTGCGTAATGCTCTGGCTCGGGAGTGGGGTCACTTGGCTTGGCTTGCTGCAATGCCTCCCAAGCAGCATCGAAATCTCCGCGATATTCCTCGGCAAACAGTGATCGACCACAAAGACCGAGGAAGTGATCAAAATCCATGACTGCCGCGTTTGCTAGTGGGGGTTTTCGTGCAGGCTTTCAGCAGTGAAGCATGTTCAGAAAAGAAGTCAGAGTCCATATGGGAAGGGTGAGTCAAATGATGATGAATGGCCCCGTTTGCTTAGTACTGCTTAGAACTGCTTAGGTTGCCTTCGCCAGGAATTACTCGATCTGGCAGGAATGGGGATGGATTTCAGCCGCACTGATCGAGCCCCGCGCGGGCCGCCCTGTCGAGGCATGTCAGGACATGTCAAGAACATGTCAAGTTCTCCACTGGACCCATAAAGCATCTTGTTGTCATTTAACTTTGATTGTCAGTACACGAAAATTCTAGGCGACTCCGTACTGTGCTGTACGTTATCCTTCAAAGTCAAGCTTCTCCTGGCTTCAAATCATGGCAGCGAGTGACGACTCTTCATTCTACCTCTATGGAGTGGGCGAGAAGCCAGAGGCCTTGACCCTTGGCTCCTTGGTGCTGGAAAAGTATTGGCAGCCACTGGCAGCGCGTCACTATACTCATGATCTGCTCAGGTAAGGTAGTAAACTCAATCTAAGCACCGCACAGGACTCACTGGCTGATTGCGCAGTGAGGAGGCGTTGCAAGAACATACTTATGCAAGTGACTTCGCCAATGTTGTCTTTCGTGGTTCCTCGCGCACTTCTCCCGGTGTTGGTCTCAGCGGTGGCGATATAATCGATCTCCATCTAGCGTATAACAAGGAGCTTGAGCGTATAGTTACCGCAAGGAAGGGAAGACGAATTATTCTGAAAGAGTGTGTCAATCTGCAACCTATACAGATGAACCATGAACTGCTCAGACTCACATATGACCCATAGTCCGGAATCCTTCCTCATCACTTCGGTCCTCAGTAATCCCCAAGCACAACAGAAACTCAAACTCTGGCTCTCCGCAGCCCGCAGCTCCTATCTCCTCAATTTCAAATTCGCACGCCGTCCGAAGATCTGGCTTCTCACCGGACTATACCTTCTAGAAGGTACCCGCACGTTTGTGTCGCGGAGCCAGTCAAATCAGGTCTCGGTAGGCATTTCGTCTGCGGTCATTGGTACACTATCGAGTGTGCCTGTGGGCGGTTCGGTGAAGCTTGGCCAGGGTGCATCGTGGGAGATTGCGATGGAGGTTGAAGACGAACACGTCTGGGCAGCGCAATTCCGGTTGCTGGATGCAAAGTTCATCAAGTTGGGTAGCAATGGTGTGGATGGGGTTACGCTACCGATGTCGATGGGGCTATATCGGGACATCATGTCGGTGAACACGGTTCGTGGCGGAGGAAGAGATGGAGTTGAATTGCAACTACTGGGTGAAAATGATGATGAACCTGATGAAGATGAGCAGGAGAATGACATGGCTGACGATCAGGACAGCCAGGAGATTACGGAGTATGAGAAGCGGCTGGAGGATACTATCCGGTTGTTTGAGAAGGCGCCGAAGCACTTTCTGGGGTAGCTATACTATAGGCCTTAACATTTTGAAACACAGCAGCATCGTGTATGTTGAGTGCATGGGTTTCAGTTGATATGGATTTGTCTGAAGTGGTGTGCGCATTTGTGATGTTTGATTGGAGTCATGTACCAAATATATACATTTACTTCTAAACTTCTAAAACGTTAAACTAGTAGCACGACTGTGTCATCTAGACTGAAAATAATTAGTTTAGAATGACATCAAAGTATTTAATATATTCGACTGTGACACATCAACACATCAATCGTTGCTGAGTAGATACCCAGGAATGATCGATGATGGTTCCATCCATAGGGCGAAGACGCTCATGTGACCGGCCCGCCGATAAGTTGGAGGAACCAGTTTATTCCTCGACCTTTTTATCCACCACCCACCCCATCTCTATCCAACGGCTGCCCCGTTTGAGTGCAGCAAACTATCATCACCATGACCAGTGACGACCAGTTTTTTTTCGACTATGTGGGCACTTTCCCCCTAACCTGCAGACATATCGCGCACTGACACGATTTTTTTTCGCTTGTCGCAGCTGGCATCGATACCCCATGACGTAAGGCGATATTCTCATCAGGTCGCCGATTCTATCGATCGTCAAGTCGACCACGCCGCGGACGCGATTCGTAATACCCTCTCCAATCAGACATGGCTCCCTTCTACAGTCCGCCCTTCACCCAAGTACCGACCAAACCCGGTCATATCACAGTCTTTGGTTGATCGCGTGCATGGTTGGGTGTTGCATAACCGAGCATGGAGTGCGGCGATTCTCGCTTTCGTTGGAACCACCTGCGTCCTCTATTATGGTAACAAAAAGTTTAATGGGAAGCGGCGGCGAGCAAGGAGGGCCGGGAATGGCGCCCGCAAGGAAATCGTGGGTATGCATGGGACCAGAACCCAAATGACAAGCTGCGCAAAGATCTAACTTGTCGCAACAGTTATCGCGGGATCGGCGCACGAACCGATGACTCGAGCGATCGCATCTGATCTTGAGCGTCGGGGATACATCGTCTATGTTACAGTCTCGTCCAGCGATGAAGAACAGATCATCCGAAGCGAGAGTCGCGAAGACATCCGGTCCCTCTGGCTTGACCTCTCCACCGTAAGAGCGAAACACTACCTCCACTTTCGTCTCAAGGACCCTTGACTAACGCAACCATCACGGCCACAGACATCCACCAACCCATCTGGAATCCACCCCTCCCTCAGCGAAATCCACACCCTCATCACCAAACCACAATCGCCCGTCGCCGGTCTCCAGCCTCACACCTGCCAGCTGAGCGGGCTCATCCTAGTCCCTTCACCCAACTATATCAGCGGCCCGGTCGCGACAATCCCGCCGTCGACCTGGATTGACACAATCAACACGCGCCTTCTCTCCCCTATCCTCACTACACAACTCTTCCTCCCCCTCCTCCATGTCCGCAACAATCACAGCACCATCATCGTCGCCTACCCCACAATCTCCTCATCACTCTCCGCGCCCTTCAGTGGGCCGGAAGTCGCGACCACCCGCGCACTATCCGGGTTCGCCACCTCCCTCCGCCGCGAGCTGACATCCAATTCGAACCTTCACGTTGTCGAGCTGAAGCTCGGCAACATCGACCTCGGACCATCGTACCGGACACCGCAGGGTCACATCGCCGGCACGGAGGTGCTAGGCTGGAGTGTCCAGCAGCGTTCGCTGTATGCGTCGCAGTACCTGAATAGCATTGAGGCGCGGCCCGCCGCGTCGGCAGGCCCGAGTCTTATCCGAGGATCTTCTGCACGCACCCTACATTACGCAGTGCATGATGCGTTAGAGGCGCCGGCCAAGAATGTGTTCGGCCGGCGCGGCAGCAAGAAGGCCGTCGTGTATGTCGGACGGGGCGCCAGGACGTACAACATCATCGGGGAGTGGGTACCCCCGGGATTGGTGGGTTGGATGTTAGGACTGCGGTCGACGCCGCCGCCGCCGCCGCCGCAGCAGCTCTACCACCTTCCACCGCAGCAGACGACTTCTTCATCGTCGCCAAGGGCGAGTTCTTCAACCAGTGCGGGGAGTAGCAGTGAGACGAGCAGCTGGGAGCGGCTGTGACAAGCTCCCGACATTCGTGGATCACACCAGTCTATAAATTGAAGTATAGCCTTCCCGCAGATCACCTTGACTATCGCTGCGAAGCTTTTTCTTGAATCTAATACCACTCTCATCTCATCATATCATATCATATCCCGCAAGTATGCATTGTAACAAAGCTATGAATATAACTCGAAACTGCCAGCTGGGACACAGAATTCATAGTTCTCTGATCATAGAAAACCAATCACACCCCCCCTCCCCCCCTTTTTAAACATTACATTATGATCCCCCTACATCTACCCCCTTACCATAGCTATCCCAGCCGTGATCTGTCCTCAAACCTGCAAAGTAGAAACCTCGACCACCTCGGACTGCTCCTCCTCCACCGACTTTCCCGAGTCGCGCACCGACCGCTTCACCTTCCCATGCGTTAACCGACGGCGCAACCAGATGGCGCCCCACGAGAGGAAAAAGAACACGAGGATCGCCGCGAGGATGGCGAAGCAGTAGCCGGTGACCTTGCCGCTGTGCTGGCCGTGGGCGCCCGGGTCCAGGAAACTGTAGGTGTAGAAGCCCTCGGTGTGGTAGGTGAGGTAGGCCAAGGCGACGTAGAGCAGGAGGATGAAGATGAGGACGGCCAAGCTGAGGAACGCGTGGGGGTTAGTGGTGGCGAGGAGGATCTCCAGCAGGGCGTAGAGAGAGTTGAGGCCGTGTTGGGAGATCTTAGATCATTGGGTCAGTTTGGGTGGAATAACCTTCCTTTCGTGTTTGGTTTTCTGGTTGCAAACAAAAGAAAAACGAAAGTTTCTATCGTAACCTTAGAGTCAAACTTACGTTCTGCCAAGCTGGCTCGACAGTGGTATACCACGGCGGGGAGTAGAGGATGCCCCAGAAGACGACGGTGACGAGGAAGGGGTAGGTGGTGATGGTGGTGTAGAAGAGCGCGTGGAGGGCGCGCAGGCCCCGCGGCCAGCAGTCGAAGAGCACCGAGCGACCCGTCAGGCCATAGCAGGTGGTGTGGATGGCGGCCGTGAGCATGTAGAACCCGATGCCCCAGTAGGTCAGCCAGGTGAAGTAGCTGAAGCTCTCGCCGATCGCGTAGCGCTCCCCGTGCGTGCCGTACCAGCCCCAGATGGTGAAGATCGTGGTGAAGATGTATAGGGCGATCAGCCCGCGCAGGCAGGCCAGCGCCAGCGGGGGCAACAGCCACGATGTCTCGTAGACGTGCTTGTGGTCGAGGGCGGGGTTGACGCCCAGGAGGTCGTAGAGGGACCGGTTCCGGAGTCGGGGCATCATGGATGATCTCCTTGCAACTGGCCTGTCTGTTTTTATTAGGGCTTTGTTGAAGCTGCTCTGTAGACCCTCTACCCCCACAGTGTGCGTTGTGAAGGAAACAACGTATAGGCAGGTAGGTAGGTGTTTGCGCCAGGAAAAGACCAATACTTCAGCTTGAGGACTCGACGAACTATCTGCCTATAGCCCGAATAACAGAGATTTTATTAGGAGCTCCCCATTGCGTGGAGAGTCGGAGTCCTTTCCTTTCCTTAGTTTAGTTGTTCGACTGTCTTTATTAAACTCGTGCTGCTAAAGCCTAAGCTTCTGCGGAGGGCGGCCGAGTTCGGCCCTGATTGGTCGGGAGAGAGTGTCTTTGTCTCCGCTGGAGGTGAAGAACCGCGTTTGCTCCTCCCACTAAACTAAGCCCAGCTGATCGGTGTTACATAGCTTTTGACTTATCTTTTTTCTTCTTCTTCTTCTTCTTCTTCTTCTTCTTCTCTCTCTCTTCATCTATTTTTTCTGTTTGCCTCGACTAATCACGGTCCTCCGGTGACTGGCCGGGTGCGGACTGGTAGGTAAGGTAGTACCGTAGTAGACTTTTCGATGGTGGTGGGTTCTTAGGGCAGAGACCCAAAGGCAGATAGACAATTGATTTTGCTTAGTGGTGCCTCCGGGCGGCCCTCCTTCCAGCATTCCAACGGCTGTCGTTCAGACGAACAGACGAACAGACGAACAGTGGGGTCTGAGGGGGTCTCGATGTGTCTCATGTCTGCAGCTCTTACCTCATTTCCCCTATAGGTGTGGTGCATGGTGCATAGGTAGACATTAGCTACCGGGTTAGTTAGTTGAGTGATGTTGGTCCTGATGGCAATAAGAGAACCAATGTAAGTGCTGTACTCTCAAGTCATAGTGAGCACTGTGCAATCCCATCATCATCATGTGTGACGGGACTCACGGGACCCGTGACTGACGGATGCTGGGCTGCCTCAATATGGATTTCCCCGGCGCCTCGAATTCCGGCCGAAGGACAACCAATCACGGTTCAATTGTGCCTGGTTTCGGACCCCCTTCCCCCCAACCACAAAAAAAAAAAAAGCAATCTAGACCGGAGACACTGCAAAAATCAGTAAATTAGTCAGGCAATAAGATCTTGAAGCCTTGGAGCCAGTTGGAAGGCTTTATTGACTAATCTCGTACGGTACAGCGAACCATGATCTCCATAGGGAGAATTTTTATGCTGGACAGTGTGAATTGTGAGCTGTAAGTCTGGTTGGGTGAACTTCTGAAACAAAGGGGGAGGGGAGAAAGACAGGAAGAACAGACTCCAGGCTGCCCGTCCAGTACTTAAGTCTAAAAGATTCTAAAGATACATACGCTAGGCAGTGTACCTGCCAGCAATGGCTGACTTTATGAATCTCCTGCTTGAAAGGGGCCACTGCGAAGGGTTTAGTTGCAAATTATTCAACGAGGGTGCCTAGCTGGTCGGAAGAGAAATCCCACTGGCGTTCCTTACTGGACAGACAACCGGCTTGCAGCGCCCAGTGATTAGTAGTAAATGGCGATAGTGATAACTAAGTGGCAGTGGTAATCAAGGAACCATGCAGCAGAAATGCAGTCCCAGAGAAACATGAAGCGGCAGCAACAGCGACTCCATGGCAGCTCTTCTCCGCATCTCGAATCTATCTACGGAGTAAATCCAAATAAACTCAAGCTGCCATTGCGATCGGGAGAATACGAAGAACCGGCAGGAGGAGAGGGGGGAGAAAATCGAAAGGACATCGACTTATAAATAGTAAATGGAGTAACTCAAAGTCTGGTTTGGACTCCACAGCGCAGTCGCCTCCCCAAGGGTGAATCCGACTATCACCCAGTAGTCTAGCGGTGCGTAGTGACAAAACAGCGCGACACTGGCCGATGTTTCGTGATGGGCGGAAGTTCGACCCATCGCTTCTAGAAGCTGGGGATTTCCCCGAGCGCCCTCAATAAACCGAACAATAATGCCACAGCCATCGATGCGGCCCCTGACTGATTCGGTGGAGGATATGAAGAGCTAGAGGGAAACCTGGAAGCAAGATGCACATCATTCAATTAGTCTGAAATGGCGATAGTCGCATTAGGATGTGGATACACAAGGAGATATCAAGACAACGCGTCTCTTATTTGATTGAAGTAGTTGTGAGTTTGTCTGCCGTGTGCCCCTCCGAGGCAGAGAAAGACAACTGGTTTATAAGGCACATAAGTATCAGGAAACCCACAAATATCGCCTATCTGGGAAGTTCCTCTTTGGTTCTTTGGATCCATGCAAATGCCAAGCAGTGAGCAGCCCAGTCCATAACGTAAGGGCGAGGACTGAGGAGGAGAAGGAGAAAGAGAGGGGGGGAGGGGGAGAAGCTGTCATCATCATCTTTTATTCTTAAGTTAGTGCTCAGTATGCAACACTTTACAGCGAGTGAGTATCTGTATGTACAGTAATTGATTTCCCCCTGAAACGGGGCCGGCCCCTGCAGATTGCAGACTGCAGCACTGCAGGCTGTAATGACGTTACGGGCAGTGGCAGCAACAGCAAATGCAATAACAGCAGGAAGCGTGGAGACTGCCCAGAACATCGGTTCTGGTTTGGCGATCGTCAGGGCGTAACAAGTAACTGGCACTCCCCCGACTAGCTAGTTAGTTTCTTGGGTCTCTTTCTCTCTCTCTCTCTCTCTCTCTCTCTCTCTCTCTCTCTCTCTCTCTCTCCTCTCTCTCTCTCTTCTCTCCTCGATCTTTCTTTCTTTGTTTCTTTCTTCTTTCTACTTGCTGACATCCTGTGTTGTGTTTGTTCCTCGATCTCATATCCCCCTCACCCACGATGCTTCAGTAGCATCTCTTCGTCTTGCCAATACGCATCACGACCTACTACTCACCCACTTCTCGCGCCCCGTACGGTACAGGTCTCCAACACCCAACAGTCATCTCGCCAGTCACCGCCACCGCCGCCGCCGCCAAATAATCCAACCGCGCTCCTCATCTACTCCGTCTCCTGTTCTTCGGCTCCTGAATCCAGGCTCATTCGCTTTGAATTACCTACTTCTACTTGCACCTGTCATCAATCGCTTTCCGACTTCCCCTCACTTGCCGCAATCCTCGTTCCACCCCACGGGGCTGTCATTCCTTTCTGTCGTCCGTCCACCATCCACCATTGTCCACTGCAATTTCGCGGGGCGTACTTCCAAATTGCATCTACACCGACCCTATTCAAAGATCGCCTGTCGCACGCCCTGAGGTCAACACTTGATTGTGGTTCTATTGCGCTTGTGCGAGTCGGTCCATCGTTTGCTAAATACTCAACGATTGATCCTCAATTAATGGACCTGATTGCTTCACGGGTTGGAAATCGAGCTCTTGTGGTGAACTTTGGATGAATCGGATTTTGTGATCGCCGCAATTGGACGGACATTGGGTACCATCATGGCCGCCCGGCCCAGATTTGGTGAAATTCGCTCCCCCTCGCATGATACCCTCCGCAGCGGGGCGCCCTCCCCGCGCATTGAGCATTACGATGGTGAAATTCCTCCCGCGCTCTCCCCGCTCGATGCCTTTGCCGCCCAGGGCCGCCTTCTGGCCCGCCAGTTGGAGGAATCCGCTCGGAGGAACCGTCGCATGAGCCGATTGCCTCCCTCCAGCGTGGCACGCTCCCTTTCGCAGCCTCGACCGGGATATTTTCGCTCAGCTTCTACCAGCGATGCTCGCGGGGGAAGGCGCAATGAGTTGTCGAGACAGCCGACGCAGAAGATGAACCCCGAGGTGGAAGAGCCTAAGTTTCGCCCTCAGTCCGAGCATCCGCGGCTCAGCGCCATCTCACACCTGTCAAGTGAAGTACCAGATGAAGCAGAGGCGCAAGAAGAACAACACGAGATGCCGGAGGAAACGGAAGATGACGATGCCACCCCGAGGAAGGAATCGACGGCTGATGTGTTTGATTTGACCCGCCCCGACTCTCCGGACAATCTCAGTGCCTACAGTGCCCCCGAAGGACCCCGTCGCTTCTATTCCGTTGCCCCCTCCTGTGTTCCTTCCGAGGGTCGCACGCCTCCGGCAGGAGTGGTTGTGATGCCCCCGTCCCGAACCTCGTCTACCGATTCAGCTTCTCATTTAAACATCCCGTCGCGTGGACTAACTCCGTCAGCCTCTCATCTCTCGCGGCCATCGAGTGGTTCTCGAGGTGGCCAATTCGAGAGCTCGGATGATGATTATAGCAGCTCAACTGCAGGCTCGACGTTCTCGAAGCCACGAAAAATGTCCTCCAGCAGTGCGATGTCTATGCCTTACTCGCCCATGTCCAATGTTCAAATCCGGCCTCATCCTCGATCTCCATCCATAAGCTCGGAAACTTCAAACTACGGGGGTCTATCCCGCCCATCGTATAATTTCTCCCGGCCGTTGAGTCGATCTGGCACGAGTCTGTCAGCTCCAGGACCGGTGTGCTCATCGGATGGCATACAGAGCACCATTAACCGCGGACACAAGCCCAGCCCCATCAGGGTGCCGTCTCCATCCGATTTGGCGTTACATCCACACGAGGATCCCTCCTCAGCTGTGTCGTCTTACATCCATACAAAGTATGCTTTACCTCGAGGACGCGCCGTCTGCCGTGATTCCGTTGTCTTCTCAGGCCTGCAGACTCCGCACTTTGAATGGCAAGAACCGCTGTTTGAGAGTCCCGATCGCCAGGCCCCTGCGGAATCCTCTCAATCTCGGCGTACCCCGTCCCCATCACCATCAGGTGAAGAGTCAATAGTTTCCAAGTCGCGCTCTATGCAGGAATCACCCAGCTCGTCTCGGAGGCTGTTGACCCCTGAGCCGCCGCTACCGCAGGCGACTTCTCTTTCGCCCAGCGATCGTACAACACCTCCAAGGCGGACATCCACCGAGTCTGCTACGGCGGAAGTTGTACCATCAGAGCCACCAGTGAGCGAACCTGCACCACCCGCGCAGTTGGAGTCCGAAATAGCCAGGAATGACAACGCCGATACGACGTCCTCTGCTGGCTCCGAGTCCACTGTGCGCCCGCAGACAGCCAGAACACAGACCACATCCGCGCCCATTACAGCGGATGAACACGTAACCAAGGGTATCGAATGTCACGAGAAAGGATCCCTCAATGAATCCACGTACCACCTTCGCATCGCGGCCAAGCAGAATCATCCTACGGGAATGTTGCTCTATGCGTTAGCATGCCGCCATGGTTGGGGAATGAGGCCGAATCAGCAAGAAGGTGTACGGTGGTTGCGCAAGGCTGTGGACTCCGTCGGATTAGAGCTTATGGATGACTCCAATCCGTCGATCCCTGTTCGCATGAGAGAACTCCAGAAGGCTTACCGAGCCCAATTCGCTCTCAGTATCTACGAACTTGGTGTGAGTCATCTGAACGGGTGGGGTATTGAACAGGACAAGTCTTTGGCCTTGCGCTGTTTCGAGATTGCGGGTCAATGGGGCGACGGTGATGCGCTCGCAGAGGCCGGGTTCTGTTACGCAGAAGGCATTGGCTGTAAGAAGGACTTGAAGAAGGCTGCGAGATTCTATCGCCAAGCGGAGGCCAAGGGAATTAATATGGTCGGGAATAGCTGGTACGTCTGTGGAGTGTTCTGTGAGAAATCAACATTTTTGGCTGACTATTCGTTTCCAGGATTTACAAAGACAAATATATGTCGGACGACAACCCGAGCTCCAATTCGCGCGGTCGTGGCCGCAGTCAAAGATCCGGTAACACTCCCGACAAGAAAAATCGCAGCAAGTCTCGCACTCGCAGTCTCTTCCACCGAAAGAAATCAGTTGCTACTGAGGCCTGAAATGCGTGCTGCCTTCTTTCGAGATTAAAGCGTCCACTAGCAACTGAAAAAAAGCCGTGTACTACCTCCTCAGGATGTTGGTACTTTCATTGCACATGTCTATTTTGTGACATCCTCGTTTGTCACCTTATCTTCTTCGTTACATATTCCATCTTGCCCCCTTTTTTCTTTCCAAGTATCTACTTGTCTCGTTGCGACCTCGACCCCGTGAGGTACATTTCACTCATTCCTACTGTTCATTTCTCTCATTTTATGCTCCCCTTGTGGCTCAATCATGCTTCCCCCGTCGATTTTCACTTGCAACTTGCTTGGCAAATCGAAATTCTTGGTCTTCTGCCTTTCCCAGGCCTTCGCTGTGGGTCAGTGTCTCTCTTCGTCTCACCATTCCATCCCTATCTTTGAGCAGGCCTTGCCAACTGCTCCGAATGCTGGCCCGGAGAACGATCTTGGATCAGATCTCTGGGAAGCAATTTGCGGGCATTGAAATTCGTTTCTTGGATACCCATCATTAGCCCCTAATCACTGTGTGATATTCGATTCGTGACTCTCCTTTGTTTAACTGACTCCGGCCTTGAAACTCTCTGGGTCCCACACTTTCGTTCCATCCTGTCTATCTTCTCGAGTACCGTTTTTTTTCACACTGCAGAATATATTTATCCTCTTAAGTAGCCGAGTGAGCGTTATCGGCCAACGTCGCAGCTGGTGAAACGATTTATCTTATTGATTGCAATTGGACAGCACCAGCAGTTCCTCTGCCATGGGTGCGCATGGTCCCTCCTTGGCCGCGTATTTAATTTAATCTTCAAGGTTCTAGTGTCTAGTGCCTGGCTTGGCTGGGTAGGATTGCAGCCATGGGTTAGATTGGGACTGCAGGGAATATGAAACCACCGTCGAGGCTTCAGTTTTGGACCGTGACTGAGAATCGAAGTGATGTAGAATGCGATGCGACGGCGAGAAAAGCAGCTTTGGGTTTGAAATATGTCACACAACTTAAAAGGAAATTGGTTTGAGAGAGTTCAGGGATTGAGAAGATTGACTTTTCCGTTTCCCTTTTACTTTTAGTATTACATAGTATGGAGAGGAGAGGCGAATCGGGAGGGAGGGGAGAAAAGAGAAAGAGGGTGGAAATGAAAAAGGCTGGACGGGACTAGACCAGAACCACTAACTTATAAGTTAACTAACAGTCTATGGAAGGCGGGAACTTCCTCGGGCGGGGGTGTCCGCGTGCCCGCTTACATTCCTTCCTTCCCTCCCCCCCTCCTCTTCTCCCATCGTCAATCATCAATCATCAATCATCAATCCCCTTCAACACCCGTCGCTTCCTTCAACTTCTCCACTCATCCATTTGTCGCTCGCTTGTCTGATTGGCAATATCCGTGACTTTCCGGGGTTTCCAAGACATGTCTATGAACATCCCTGGACTTTCAACTCCTGCTCATCATTGGTTGCAGATCGTCAGAGCCATCGGAGCAGTGGCCGAAAGCAGTCACAGCAGCCACACCACTCGAGGGATTGTCCAGGGATTGTCGCTTTTATTGATTAAAGGGGATTCACTGGAAATTCCTCTAGCAGTTTAGTTGCATCGCTCCGGCGGTTCTGTCCCACAACAGCTGCCCCCCACCCCCAGCAAGCCCAGCAAGCCCTGATCGTCCGGGGGAAATTGGGTCTTACAGATTTCCAGTCCCCGTGCTCACAAACCTTGGCTCACTTTTAGTTCACCCCGACTGGCCATTCTAGCTTGTTTGTCGTCTTTCCCCTCGTCCTTCTCCTCCTTCCCAATCGCTTCCTTCCTCCGACTGGATTGAAGTTTAAAAATTATACCTCAGCCTCGGTTCAAAGTCTACGTACAGCCGGAAGCTGCAGGTCGGAGGCACACTGCAGATATGTTCATCTGTTCATCATAAGCTGTTTGCTGGGAGCGCGTGGCAAACGACCCTCCATCCCGAAACTACCTCGATCGACCGGCGAGATGCTAAAGTTCGGAGCAGGGATAATCTCTGCTGGCTCGCTTCTTGCACGGTTACATCTAGCTAATTGGTAGCGGCGCCGCCAGCTGCAGACCTAGTCTACCTAAGCATGGCTCCGCCTGAAGAGGGTCCGCGGCGTTCCATTCTTGTCGGACATATTGCTGTTGTCTATAACATGTGAAGATCGCACTGCTTCCTCCGAGACCCAGATATATCGTCGGGGTACTTAGGGGGGAGAACCGCTGTTTGTTTGAGCCGGTCTCAAATCCGTTTCTGGTCATTGTCATCCCTTGCTAGAGACTTTTTGAATTGTCCTCGTGGGTTCCGTGGTTTCTCGGTCAACTTTAATCTCCTGCTGCTGCCCCTGCGTGTCACTTGACTGGAAGTTGAGGCTTTGTATGTACCGCATCATTCCAGATTCATCCCCGATTAAAAGCTGCTCTTGTGCCATCGCGGCTAAGACTGATCTCGTTGCAGTCGTATTGATCCTTGCTCAAGACCGCTCGACACTGGCGCTGTGCAACTTCTGAAAGGAACATTTTCTGTCCCAGCTCACTTATCTCGGGTCGGGCTTTTCTCTATTGCTTGCGAGGTGAAAGACCCCGCATATGTCACACAGACATCATCCAACCCCCGCGAACCAGCAAGACACAGACAACTCCATCTCAGCATGACTAGTGACAGCAAGCCCCATGTCGTTGAGACCGGCACGGTGCCGGCCGCCGCTGCGACAAAGCCCAGTTTCGGGAGCCGCGTTGCGGCTCATTTCAAGCGGTGGTGGTGGGTGCACCTCATCATCTTGATTGTGGTGGTTTTAGTGGTGGTGCTGCCGGTGTATGTTGCTATTGTCTCTTCACTGAAAACTATTGCGTTTCAAGCCTGACATGATCGAACCAGAGTGTATGTTGGATACCCCAACATTGCCCAGCATGATATCAACAAGTCAACCTTGAATATCACGAGCATGGCAATCAGTGATCCGACGCCCAATTCCTTCCATTTACGAGAGACACAGGTTATTGGGTCTAGCAGCGCCTTCAAGCCCAACATCTACTCCTTCAGCGCGGCCATCAGTCTTCTGGGTGGAGCTCCCTTTATCACAGTCCAGATTCCCAAATTCAAAGCACATGACGGCGTCCAGGTCGATGTCGATCAAGACGTTAACATCACCGATGTGGCGGCATTTACCGAATTCAGCAAGGCGGTCATGCTCAACGAGGAGATCCAGATGAATGTATACGGCAAGGCTGATCTGAAAGAGGGTAGCCTGCCCAAGACGAAGATCACATACAATAAGACTACGACCATCAAGGGTAAGGCATTCGCCTCTAATCCCAACGCATTGGCTCACAGGTAGCAGGTCTCAACAAGCTCAAGGGGTTCGAGCTAGTCGATCTTACCATCTCGACTTCTACGAAGAGTGGAAATAATGGCAAAGGGACCGTCTACATTCCCAACCCTTCACCCTTCACACTCACTTTGGTAAGAACCCAGTCTCAGATGATCATTTAGCTCGCGCTATCTACAGTAGCTAATGTTCTTGCTAGGGCAATGTCACCCTTGATCTATCCGTCAACGGCACTGCTATTGGCCAATCCTACCTGTCCGACCTCACCATCCGCCCAGGCAACAATACCCTTCCCATGACCGCCAACGTTAGCACCCTCACCGTGGCAGGCATGCTTGGCAGTTATCCCACTTTGATGCTTCCCGTTGACATCGTCGGTAATTCGAGCGTCTACAACGGCGAGGAACTATCGTATTTCGCCGAAGCTCTAGCTGCTAACACACTCAGCGTAGAGCTGAACGTGACGAAGGCATTGGGAGGCATTCTTTAGATTGGGTCATCGCTTCCTTGGGAAAACTTAGGATAGGAGATGAAAAGTTGAGATGGGGGCCGTCTATCTTGCTCGAAATGATTATCCTGTATATGTTTCATTAATGCTTTTCTTTTGTGGTATCTTGTGTCATGATGAGGACTGATGAGTGAAATGGTATCTATGCTCAATGGCTATATAATTAGGTTTGCTGCCATGAGGATGAATTGAGACACCTGTCATCCCAATACCTAAGGGAAACACTGCCCCCCGTTGATGTGATTCCTCTTCGTCTCGCTTGCACGTCAGATGACCGCGTGCGTATCCTACTTGAACCGGCTGGCCCATTGTCCACCGGGGAACAGCCTCAACAACAGTTGGAGAAAAGCAATTGCAAACCTTAATCCTTTCCCTGTGGATCTCCTTGATCATCATCGACCCATCTCTGGTGAATTTTAGTCTTTGGCGTGTTCGCCTTCGCCTTCGCCGTAGCCTGCTGTCGAAGTAGTAAGTAGTAGTCTATGATGAATGGTGTGGAGGTCCACGCCTAGAACAATCTTTCTCTCCTCCATATAATCCCCCCCCCCCTCAACCCTTTCCTCCTAGCTCCCCCCCGCACACATCTGGGGAATGATATCCGGGGTGCACCGCTATTCATGCTCATGCCTATTGGGTCAACAGCTCGGTAGGATGTGGCCTTTGTTGCCCAGTGTGGATACCCGGGGGCCGGGAATTAGGTTTGCAAACTGACATGACACGCACGTCCAGTACTTAACTGTACTCTATGTACCTTGATGCTTGTTCTGTCTATGCCGAAAAGCAGTGTCGCAAAATGGGTATTTTGCCTCTTTTTTTTTTTTTTTTTTCTTTCTTTGGGATGGGCGAAAGCTTAGTAAGTTGATTCGGTATTCATTGCAATATTATCTGTTATATCTGGAGGATTGTTCGTTGAAAAAGGTGAAGTTGAGCAATCTGGTAATGGAACGATGAGGGGAATTAAACTGGGAATAGATCCGAAATTACTTGGTTAGTGTTGGGTCTGGTATTGATGGTATCTAGGGAGATGGGAGGTGTTATTTGAGTTCGAGTTTATACTTGGTATATGGGGGTTACAGGCTGGACTGATTGTAGTGTGGTGTGAAATGGCGCTGTAAAACTGTCTTTGGCTGCTACCAATCTACTAGGGATAAATATAACGACTACCAGCTTCTGATCT